GGGGGGGAGGCCCCCAGGGAGAGTGAGGTCCCGCCCCTCGGGGCCGGGGTCACAGTACAGTGGGCTCAGGGCCGACTGCAGTGGGCGCTCAGTGGTGAGCTGGTGGCATCGTCAGCGTCATTGTGGCTAATACCTTGGACTCCTCCTCACCTGGGGTCCCGGGCCACGCAAGGGGCTTGGATAAGGGCTCTCCCCGTGGGCTGGGGTTAGAAGGGCCCCGCCAGAGTTGCTGTTGTCATCCCCCACGGCCCCCCAAAACTGAGACCGGCAGAGAAGCTGGGCCCAGAGAGAGGGAGCAGGGAGGGGAGGCCCGTCCTTTGCCCTTGCCTGCCCAGCACTGACCCAGGGACCCTCCACATCCCACCTGGGGGGCCAGGCTCCTGCACGGAAGGCCCCGGTGCCCCCCACGCCCCTCCTGGCCTGTCTTGAGGCGCATGGAGCCTCTTCCGGGGTAGGCCTGGGACTTGGGCATGGCAGGGTGGGGGTTGCTGTTGAGCCTTGCCTCAGGCAGGGGGTTCTGGGGTGCCCCCTCAGGGACCTGCGGACTCGCCCCTAGCTACTCAGGCTGCCTCCCGCTGGCGGTGACCACTCTTCCTCGCTGGCCCTCGGTCTGGCCCGCTGGCAGGGACTACCCAAGGTAGGCAACATCCAGAGGGTGACCACAGGTCTCCCTAAGCAAGGAGGAAGTTCAAGGGGGACGTGTTCGGGGAGGCACAAATGTTTCCAAAGCTCCAGGCCAAGGGAGGGCCTTCACTCCATCTGTACCCACCCAGCCCTGATTCAGAGAAATGGCCCTCCAGTAGCAAGTCTCCCCCACTTGCCAGAAATACCCCTAGTGTCTGCCCCCTCCCCCTGGGGCTATTTATAGACTTGCAGACAGAGATGCCCAAGGCTGTCTGGAGCCCAGGGGTGAGGTCTGGGCAGACATGTGGGTTTCGGTCATCCACCCCAGGGGGGTGAGAACCGCCTTTGCGGCACACACTCATCAGGAAGCCTGCTTAGGATGCGGGATTCTTGCCCCGGAGGAAACCAACATCCCTGCAGAGGGGCTGAAATGTGGGAAGAGCCGCTGGCTTGAGCCCCCTCTTGCCCCTGCCCTGAGGTCCCCCTCCAGGTGGCCATCCTCCCTGTCGCTGATCACCCAGGAAATACACACATACACTGTTTCTGGGGTCCACCGGGGCTGGACCTACCAAACCCTGGGCCAGTATAAAGGACACCACACCCGATTAACCTGCCCAGGTGGGTGGCTAATTGTGGCCCTCCGCCCACTCACGTCGGCTGCCCCTGAGGCCCAGCAGGGTCACTAGGTGACTCCAGAGCCAGACTCCTGTCCTCAGGTGCAGAGCAGAGAAGAAAACCTCCCACCTCCCACACAGCTGGGACAGCTTCTCACCCCCAGCCCAAGTTCGCGAGGCTCCCAAGGCCGACCCCCAGCGAAGGCTGGGCCACAAGCCACCCCGAGGACCCCTCATCACCAGCCTCCAGGGCCCCGGGGCAGAGGACACTGGAGGTGGCTTCGGTTCAGCCAAGAGCGTGTTCAGTGTTACAGCAGCTCAGCCCTGAGGAGTCAGGAGGCATCCCCCAGCCCTCCCAGGCGGGAGGCAGCCCCCAGCCCCCTGCCCGTCCTCCCTGCCCGTCCTCCTAGTGCGCTTCCCCGCCACTGGGCTTTTCTTGCCAAAGCTGCCCGCTCCGGGCCGGCCGGCCAGCGTCCCACCGCAGACTCAGCCCACCGCCAGGAGAGGTGAGGGGGAACCACCCAGCGATCGCGGCACTGCGGGATAGCCCCCCTAACGTCCCCCCCGCCCGGCTGTCGTGCCTCGCCGTGCCTCGGTGGCCCCACCTGTGACACGGGGATGGCGACGCCCACCTGCCCCCCTCCACTCGAAGGCTCAGAGGACGCTCCAAACCACCAGCGCCTGGGCCCGCCGGGGTTTGCGCCCTCCCGGCCCGACCCCGCCCCCAGGAGGCCGGGCTTGCCTCGCCGCGGCCCCGCCCCCTCCGGGCCTCGGGTTCCCCCGCGGGACCGGGCGGGCAGGCACCGCCCACTCGGCCACCCGCAGGCGCGCCGGCCGGAGCGCTGCGCCGGGGCGCCACCGTGTGGTCCTTCTGGGAACTGCACTGCCCGGCCTCCCAGGAAAGCCCTTCCTTCCCTAGAGGTTACCACGATCAAGATTCCGACGCCAGTGACAATCACTGCGGGCGGGTCTGCAACACGGTCGCGACAGACTCTATGCTAAGTACGATCTATACAGAATGCTCTTAATTCTCCCATCAATCTTAGGATGTGGGTCCTATCATCCGTCCTTCCTTACAGATGGGGAAATTGAGGCCCCCCCCCCCCCCCCCCCCGCCCCAACAGTGACAGGTCAGGTAGGACCTGACCCCAGGAGGTCTGGCTGCAGGGGCTTGGTTCCAATTCGACCCATCTTGCCTGAGTCCCAGGGGTTGACACCATCCCTGTGCACACTGGAGTCTTCCAGGGGACGTAAGAGAAGTTTGGGGGTCCCAACTCGTAGGCAGATCCAGCTGGCCCAAGTGACTCATCTAGGCAGCCAGGCCTGAGAGCCACCTTCTCTCTCATGAAAAGCCCATTTTATGGAGGAGGAAGTGGCTCAGGAAGGTCAGGATGGGCGCACTAACCCACAGGCGACAGCAGAGCAGAGCTGGGGGGGTCCAGGCTCTTCCCACTCACCTCAGGCCTCCCGCCCTGGGTTTCCAGTGCTCGGAGGCCAGCCCAGGCCTTTGGTGACAGGGCTTGTTGAGCAGGCGGAAGTCAGGTTTGAGTCCTGACTCCACTATGGCCCTGCTGTGTGTCGTGACCTTGACTTTCTCATCTGTGAAATGGGCCATACTCAAGAGGATTTGAAGCAATGACCATGTGAAGACTCAGGCTCAGCAGTGGATAAGTAGCTGCTAAGTCAGATGATGGTAAAGGCAGCTGGAAGTTTCCAGAGGGAGCTGACCCCTCCAGACCCCTCCAGGCAATGCCAGGTCATGCCCCTGGAATGCTAAGCCTTGGGAGCCTGTGGGCCTTTTAGATGGACAGCGGAGGAGGTTCTGTCCTGTGTGGGCCAGGCCCAGCCACGGCAGGAAGCGCAGGGCATGGAGTAGGGGGTGCTGGTGGAGACTGGGGGGCTGGTGGGGGTGCCTAGGGGCTGTGGGGCTGCTGTGGGGCTATTGGAGAGCTCCAGGGGGGGCTGGTGAGCCTCAAAGGGAAGCTGCAGAGGGTGGGGGGTAGTGGTCCAGGCAGGGCAGGTCCCTGGGAGCAGTACAAGGCTGAAGGCCCAGGGACGAGGCAAGAGGAAACAGCGGCACTTGGGGGGTTGTGGGAGGGAGCTGGGCAGAGACCATCAGGGGGCGGGTTTGGCCACACAGCTGGAGGCAGAGCCCAGGCACACGGGTTCTGCGAGCCACGGGACATTCTGAGCCCCCTCCCCCGCCCAGACATGGGACTGGAAAGGGGAGGGAGGGTGGGAGTGTAGTTCGATCGAGGCCCCCCACCCAGTGCTCGGTTTGGGCAGAGAGCTAGGGGAGCGGGACTGTCACTCTACAAGGAACCTGCGGCCACAGAGGCATCCTGGAGGCTGGGCGCTCTGCCCAGAGGCTCAGGACAGACTGCAGACGCCAGTTCCCTTGACCCACCTGGGCTGGGGAGAGGAACGGGCTCAGTATCCCCACCTCCCTGAGCCTGTCACTTCCTCCCCTGAGCCTCAGCTTCCTCTTCTGCTAAATCGGAAGGTCCCTCAGCTCCAGACTGCTCAAGGACTGAGGAGGAGCTGAGGCAAAGCGAGGGCTGGCCCAACTCCATTCCATTCCCCTCCTGCTATGGAGAGCTGACCTTGCCAGGGCATTTGCCCCAGGCAGTGGGCATAGGCGTGTTGTTTTCTCTGCAGGAAGACAGGCTCCCAAGTACTGAGGGAGAAACTCAGAGGGTCCTTTTCCTCGGATGGGCCCAGAGGACATGGCTGGCCCAGTACCTATTGCCCTTGGCCACCTCTAGGCCCCGGGGGAGGAAAGAAGGGCACCTTCACCCACCTACCACTGTCGGGGTTCCCCAGTCTCACCTCCTGGGGCTGGGCCCACAGGCCTCCCCCGACCAGGTCGGGAGGGGAAGCATTGTGCCAGAAGGTGCAGAGGAAGCCAGCAGGGGTGAGGCCGGGCGTCCAGGTCCACCGAGCGGTCCCCAAGAGAGGTCCCGGGGGCTCTGGCCTGTGTGAGAGGCCCTCTGGGGGCCCCAGCACCCTTGTTGGGAGTAGACTAGACCACACGGGCCCCAGGGCCCCGACCCTGTCAGATTGAGCTCTCTCAAAACCCCGTCTGTAATCCCAACCTCACACCACACCCAGGAACATGGCCTTGCACATAACACAGGGAACTGGCTTCTACTAACACAGAGCCCTCCTGGTAACCTGGGCGGCCTTCTCCCGAGACGGCACCATCTGGGCACCTTCAAGGGAAGCTTCCGGAGCTGCACTAGCCCTTAGACCAGCCTCGATATTGCTCTCATTTTACAGATGAGCAAACTGAGGCCAGAGCGCTCTGGCCCGGTCCGGCCATTCATTCATGCAGTCAACACATATTTATTTGAGCATCGGCTCTGTGCCAGGCCAGGGCGGCTCGGAGACGAATCGTACACAGACCTGGCCCACGAGGCACTCACAGCCTGGCAGGGCAGCTGGTCACATCAAAGGACACTCACAATACAGTGTGGTCAGTGTGGTGTTAGAGGTAGCACAGGTGACCAAGGGAGCACAGAGGAGGGGCCCCTGGCCCCGCCAGGGGTGGCAGGGAGGGCTTCCTGGAAGAGGTGACACCTGAAGAGGGTTTTAGGAAGTGAGCAAGAGTTAGGGTGTGTGGCAGGGGGAGTGGCCTGTGCAGGGAGGTGGGGGTAAGAGATAGCACATCTGGGGCGCAGCTGGAAGTTAGGTTCAGGGGCGGGGAGGGGGGGGCTGGGGGGGGCCTGCCCGGAGGGCGTCGGCCCCGCCCCCCCCCGCTCGCTGCCGGGGCCGCGGGGGGGGGGCCGGAGGAAAGCAGGTGGTGATTGGCAGGGGGGCCCGCTGGGAGCCAGCATGGAGGGTGCCCCTGAGGAAGGGGACAGGAGAACAGGGTGGATGGCAGCGGGGTTGCAGAGGAGTGTGGGTGCGGCCCTTGCCAGAGGAGTCCCATCCACCCCAGGCCCGCTCAGCAGGGCGGCGGGGGTGCGGGCTGCCAGCCCCGGGGCCGCAGAGTGCACAGCACAGGGTCGAGCGGCTTGAGCGTGGCCTGCTCCTGCAGCCCGTATCGCTGTCCAGGCACCAGCCGGAACTCGAGCCTCTGCAGCAGCTTGGCCATGACCACCTTCACCTCCATCTGCGTGCAGAGGTGGGGAGGGGCGGGAGGCAGGCGGCCGGAAGGCAGCCGGTGGGCGGGGCCCCGGCGGGCCCGACCCTCCCCCACCCCGGCGCCCCGCCCCCGGTCCCCGAGCCCGGCTCTGCCAGGCCTCCTGGCCCCGGGGTGAGACCCCACCCAGCCCTGGCCTCCTACCTGAGCAAACTGCTGTCCGATGCAGGAGCGGGGGCCCAGAGAGAAGGGAAAGTAGGTGAACCTCGGCCTGCGGGGAGAGGGCTGTCAGGAGGAGGCGGCCCCGTGACAGCCCTGCCCCGGCGGGTGACAAACCCGTCCCTTGCGGATGCGTGGCTTGGGGCCACGACTGGGTTTTGCACCCACTGAACACATCCAGGGCTGGCTCTGTCGCTCTGCGTCAGCGTTTTGTCATTTTATCCTCCTCTGGCGCTTTCCAGAAGGAGCTGTTATCATCCCCAGTTCACAGCTGGAGGGACTGAGGCTCGGAGAGCCAAAGCAACACCCCCACCCCCACCCCCACCCCCACCCCGGCTTCTCTGCCACTTCTACACTTGGCCCGTCACACGTCCAGTTCTGGGCAGAGGCTGGGTCTGGATGCAGGTGGTCGGTCCCTGGGGCCTGGTTCCCCTCCCCCTTCCCCCCCCCCCACGTCCCACTGTAGTTTAAGGCATTTGCCCCCAACGCAGCCTTCAGGGGGAGCCATCAGTGTTCCCATTTCTCAGGACCATCAAGGCAGGGGGAGTTGCAGCCCCTGGCCTGAGTCCCAGAGCTTCCCAATATCAGGGACTGGTTATAAGTCTGGGTGTTAAAACCAGTCCGAGCTGGGCTCCAACCCCAGCTCTGCAGCTACCGACTGTGCATCTTTGGCAAAGTTACCTTACCTCTCTGAGCTGTGATTTCCTCCCCACAAAAGGGGGCGGAGTGGGGATGGCAACTTCCTCACAGTGATCTGGAAGGCCATGTGGGCTCAGGGGTCATAGGCGGTCCAGCCCGCAGGTCACTGGGACCATCCTCCCCCCACCAGGCCTCCACTCGCACACAGCTTGAAGAGGGACTTACTTCGGTGCTTTGGGGCTGAAGCGATCGGGGTTGAAAGTCAGTGGGTCCTCAAAGTATGTGTCCATACGCCCCATGACGTAGGTGCTGAACTGCAGGGGGAGGAACTGCTTGTCTCTGGTTCCAAGGATAGGCACCCTCACACCTCCCGGATCCACTGTGGTCACCCAACGCGGCGACCAGGAGCAGAGTGGCCCCCCTCTACTCCACCCACCCATCTGGGCCAGTGTGGGATTCCACTGGCTCCTGGCAAGTGTCTAAGACAAGGGAAGGGACAGCCCAGTGTGCCAACAAGGACCAGCTGGGTGTGTATCTCATCCTATGCTTGGTCCCGTGCTACAGGGGGCCTACAGTTATCCCTATTTTACAGATGGGAAAGCTGAGGCTCAGAGAGAGGTTCGTGGCTTGCCTGAAGTCACTGGGCAAGTAAGTGGCAAAACAGATTCAAACTCAGGTCTGCTTCGAGAGCATCTTCCTCAAGATCTCTAAAAGCTGTCATTCAAAGTTCCTTTTCAGCACAAGGTTGTTTCTGCGGTGGGGTTGGGGGGGGGGGAAGAGGGGGGAGGGAAAGGAGCTGCAGGCCCCACTGGCCTTATGATACGCGCCAAGTTGCCTCCCGACTGAGGGCAGTGTTCTGTGACCCTGGCCTCTGTGGGCCATACGTGCCCCCTATAACTGGTGCCCTGGGTGCCGACCTCGGTCTCATTACTCCTGCACCAAAGAGTTCCCTGGGCCCACTCTGCCGCTGGTTCCCTGGGCTGAGAGTATAGGGCAGCCAGAGCGGAGGAAGGGCCCGGAACCGTGGGAGCATAATAAGGTGGAGAGGTGTCCGAGGTCAGCAAAGGGCGCCTACTGTGTGCCAGGGATATTTACCAGACATGTGATGACCATTGTTCTTCAACTCGTCTCAGTAAACTGTGACTCAGGTATCATCACCCCAGCTTATGAGGAGGGCACTGAGGCCCAGAGGTGAGCCAGCCTGCCAGAGCAGGGTGGGATTGGAGCTGGGATCTGCCCACTCAAGGCCCACATGGCTACCCGCCTGCTCAGCCAGATATAAAGGCATTCTAAACCACCACCTGGGTCATTCAGGCAGGTGGTATTGGTGCTGGGGTGTTAGAAAAAAAATAAATAAATAAAGAGCAGATACACAGAATAAAGACCCACACATCATGAAGCTTTGATACGTGCTGGAGAAGGCATGGCGGAGCCCTGGGAAAGCCAGGGCTTCGAGGGGGGAGAGGGCTGCCCAATAGATAGAACCAGAACATGTTTTCCTCTGTAAAAGTACAAATCAGGTCTTGGGGAAGGCTGAATTTTGTCCCTCTAAAATCCTTATCTTAAAGTCTCAGCCACAGAATGTGACTGTATTTGGAGATAGTCTCTTTAAAGCGACAATCGGGGCGCCTGGAAGGCTCAGTGGGTTAAACATCCGACTTCGGCTCAGGTCATGATCTCATGTTTCATGAGGTCGAGCCCTGTGGCTGGCTCTGTGCTGACAGCTCAGAGCCTGGAGTCTGCTTCAGATTCTCTGTGTGTGTGTCTCTCTCTCTCAAAAAAAATTTTTTTTAATTTTTAAAAAAATAAAAAAGTGGCAAGTTATAATGAAGTCATTGGGGTGGACCCTACTCCAGGATGACTGGTGTCCTTATGAGAAGAGGAGATTAGGACACAGACGCACACAGAGGAGATACCCTGTGAGGACAGGCAAGAAGGCGACCATCTACAAGCCAAGGAGAGGGGCCTCAGGAGAAATCAGCCTTGCAGACACCTTGATCTTGGACTCCCAGCCTCCAGGACTGTGAGACAGTACATTTCCACTGCGAAGCGCCCCCTTCTGTGGTGCTTTGTAATAGCAGCCCCAGAAAACGAATACAGATCCCTACCTCACGCTATACACAAATTCAGTTCCACGTAGATAGGGACTTAACTTGAAAAAGAAAATTGTGATATTGCCAGAAGATGATGTAAGTGACTATGCTGAGCTCATGATGGGGTGGGGGTGGGGTTCCCTAAGACAAAACAAGAGAACAGACGCCTGAAATATTAAGAACTTTGGATCATGAAAAACACTTTAACAAAGAGAGGCCACAAATCTAAAGATGACATTTGCAACACGCATACCTGACAAAGGATTAATATATGAATTTTTACAGAGATGGGGGCACCGGGGAGACTCAGCCGGTTAAGCGTCCGACTTCGGCTCAGGTCACGATCTCATGATTCATGAGTTTGAGCCCCGCATCAGGCTCCGTGCTGACAGCTTGGAGCCTGGAGCCTGCTTTGGATTCTATGTCTCCCTCTCGATTTCTCTGCCCCTCCCCCACTTGCACTGTCTCTCTCAGAAATAGATAAACATTAAAAAAATTTGTTTAAATGAACTTTTACAGAGAGCTCTGCACAGCGTTGATAACAGCGCCGCAAGCCTCACTAGTAACCAGGAAACTGCAAATCAAGACCACAGGGAAACACCTTCCCTGCGCTTATTTGATTGGCAAAACCAAGAAGCCGGACCACAGTCGGCGTTGGGGAGGATAAGGAACAGAGCTAGTGGGCGTCTGGGTTGGCATGGGTGTTCCGGAAACCACTTTGGCCCTAGTTTACCGAGTCGAACGTTGAGATGCCCCACAACCCAGCCCTCCCGCCACCGTGTGCACAGTGCGTCCGCCACACGGGCAGGAGTGGCAGCCGTGGTGCTCGGGAGAGCAGGGAATCGGGCAGCCCCCAGAGATGCCTGCTGACCCAGAATGGATAACGGGGTGGCAGTCTACACACGGCAGAGAAGTGAGGGCCCGCCGTCCCAAAGCAATCCCAGGACATATTATCGTGTGGATGGACACGTGTCCACACACACACACACACACACACACACACGGAAAGGCGAGAGGTTAGTAAGCACAAAATTCAGGACAGTGGTTGCTTCCGTAGGGAAGCAGGATAGTGACACAGTTCTAGTTTGGGGGTGGGTTTCTGAGAGGTCATGGTGCATGAAGGGACACCTGATGAGGGAACAAATGAGTGAGCGTGTAAACGGCCAGTAAAGGAGAGGCGGGGGAGAATAGTCACCCTCCGTGGGGGGAGGCGGGAGAGGGGTCAGCTGTGAAACGGGGCACTGCCTGCCGGCTGTGTGACCTCAGGAAAGTGACCCAACCTCTCTGAGCCTCAGCACCCTCAGATGTACACAGGGCGCCTCCCTTCCAGAATCGCCTGCTGTAACCTCACACTGGACAGGGTGAAGAGGAAGAAAGTCCTCACGCGGTTACGGTGAAGCTCATGACAGATCCCAGTGGCGACAACGGGGCCACGGATGTCCCGACCTCAGGGCTTGGCCACCTGGGCGGGGGAGGGCAGAGAGGGCCCGTACGCACCAGGAGCGGGGTGTTGCCGGGGACTCGGACCCCGTCGATCAAGGTCTCCTCCTCCAGCAGGCGAAAGGTGCCCCACGCTGGCGGGTACAGCCTCAGCGACTCTTTGAGAACCTACAGGAGCCACGTGGGGAGACGAGGAGAGACATCAGAGACCCCACAGAACGTGCCGGCGGCGTGCCCCAGACCCACCCTTGCTCCCGCTCGCAGTGCTGACTGCGCACCCGCGTCCAGGACTGGGTCCCAGACCCCCTGCAAAGTTAGCCTCATGTTCTTGTCCAACCCCTGCTGTCGCGGAAGGAGGAACTGAGGCCCCAAAGGAGAAGGAGGTTCCGGGCTCTGGCCGAACTACAGCCCCAGAGCCCGGTCCCGCCCCAGCGACTCTGATGTCATTGGTCTGGGACAGGTGCTCACGGGAATGATTTTCAGTCTGCAGGGACGTTCTCACGGGCGGTGAAGTTAGAGAACACCCACGGGAAATGGTTCAGGGGGGCAGCAGGCCTGGCTTGACGAACCACCCACACGTGCCCAGAAGCTTCTCTCCTGCCCCACACCTGGGACAGATACTGCAGCCTCCCCAGGTCGTCACAGTCGAGGTGCCTCTTAGAACCGATGACCTCGTCCACCTCGGCCTGCAGCCTGTCGGGTCAGACAAAGACAAGCTCGTCCCCACCGAGCGACTGCCCCCTATTAGTCTTTAGAAGGAGGAAGGGAAGGAAGCGCGAAGAGAGCGGCCCGGAGCTCCCCTCCCCCCCCCCCCAGCCCTCCTCCCACGGCCCCCCGGCTTCATCGTTGAAGACATCCAGGAACCATCACGTCCAAAGCAAGATGCCCAAGCAGTTAGGAATTCTGTTCCAGGGCCTTACAGTCTCCCCCCTCCCTGTTCGCCGCTCGGAACCGGCCGCAGGCAATAAATGCACAGAACAAGGTCTTTGCACAGAGAAGTGCATCACAGCCTGGTTCACGGCAGCCGACAGCCGGAAACAGAATAAGCCTCGCGGGGACGCCGGCCGAGCGAGCCTTACGATGTGCGCGGTGAGGCTCGGACGCAGGCCCGAGAGTGGATTCGGACCACTTCACGCCCGTTCCGAAGGCTGTAATCCAGAGGCGGAAAGTCACAGGTGTTGGCAAGGATGTGCAGAAAGCATCGCCCTCGTGTCCCCTTGGTGGCAGTGTAAAACGGTGTGCAGAAACCGAAATGGGGAATTAGCATGCGCTCCAGCAATTTCTCTGGAGGTCTATAAGCCCCCACAGCGAAAGCAGGCTCTCACAGATACTCGCACACCCAAGTTCTCACAGATACTTGCACACCCAAGCTCGTGGCAGCGTTATTCACAGGAGTCAAAGGGTGGAAGCCACCCGAGCGACCCTCAACAGCCGCGTCGGGGAACAAAACGTGGGGCATCCGGACAATGGACCGCTATTCAGCCTTAAAAAGGAAGGAAGTTCTGACACCTGCTGGATGAACCTTGGAGACATTATGCTAAGTGACACAAGCCAGACGGAAAGGTCAATTACCGAATGATTCCAATTACATGAGGTCCCTCGAGGAGTTAAATCCAGAGAGACAGAGAGGAGTATGGCGGGGGCGGGGGGGGGGGTGCCCCCAGGGGGGGGGGGCTGGTGTTTCACGGGGACAGTTTCAGTTGGCAGTGATGGAAGGTTCTGGGATGGGGGTGGCGATGACTGCAGAGCACCGTGAAGGTGCGTGACGCCACCGAACTGTGCGCTTAAAAATGGCCAGAAGAGAGATGCCCAGGTGGCTCAGTCGGTTCAGCGTCCGACTTCGGCTCCGGTCGTGATCTCACGGTTTGTGAGCTCGAGCCCCGCGTCGGGATCCGTGCGGACAGCTCACGGCCTGGAGCCTGCTTCGGATCTGTCTCCCTCTCTCTCTGCCCCTTCCTACTTGCAGTCTCTTTCAAAAATAAACAATAAAAATAATTTCTTAAACGATCAGAATGGGGCGCCTGGGTGACTCAGTCGGTTCAGCGTCCGACTCTTGATTTCGGCTCACGTCATGATCTCACGAACCGTCAGATCGAGCCCCGCGTTGGGCTCTGTGCTGACCGTGCGGAACCTACTTGAGATTCTCCCTTCTTCTCTCTGCTCCTCCCTCTCTCTCTCAAAATAAATAAATAAACTTTGTTAAAAAATAAGATAAAAGGTGAGGGGACACATGACCTTACAAAAAATTATTGGGGTCGTCAGGCAAAAATGTTTTTAAAAAAATGGTCAAAATGGCAAGTTTTGTGTGTGTGTGTGTGGACAATATAAAAAAAAGAGTGGACCGGGAGAAGAGGTGATGTGATAAAATACGTGGTGAAATTCAGTAGTTGATCGTGAACTGCCTCCTGGGGGTGGGGCCCTGTGGTGGAATTATTACTATATTATTATTATTATTATTATTTCAACATTTTGGCTTTTTCCAAACTTTTGTAATGACCACCTTACTGTAATATATGTATTTAAAACCCCAATCAACTATTTTATATTCTGAAGCGACCGTTCACCTCCGCCCTTGTGCGCTGCTGATTAAGAAGGGTAATCAAGGCTCGCCCCCCATCCCGAGCTCCCACCCCCATGCCTGTTGGGGCTTTTCGAGCGCTTTCACTGTTTGTCTTCAAGGAAACCAGTGGCCCAGCTCAAATGCCATTTCCCGGGCACCCCTCCTCTGTCTCGCCAGCTGAGGACAAGCCCTCCTACAGCACTTAGTTGGACTTCTGCTAGGTCCTCAGTGCCGGCCAGGCGCTGAACGCAGCATGGGGAGGGAAAAAGAACCACGGTCCCTCGCTTCTAGTTTCATGACCGAAATAGACTCCAAGCAAATGGTCCCAGGAGGAAATGCATTCACGAGCTGGGAGGAGCCTGGGAGGGGAAAACGCAGAATGGCTACTTTAGGGGCATGAGAAGGCTTCTGCGGGGGTGGACAGAGTTCTCCAGGAGAAAAGCAGGGAGAGGAGCGTCCGGAAGAGGGACTGGCATGTGCAAAGGGCCTGGGGTGAAGAGAAGCAGGACACATTGGAGGAGGCTCGGCCGTGGGGGGCCGGAGCAGGTTGTCTTCCAGGAACAAGACATCAGACAACCCCTTCACCAGCTTCAAGGGGAGTCACTATCCCCACCCCCCGAGCCTCCCCGCTCCATACCTTGCCAAGATCTCAGGCTGGCGAGACAGCTCCATCACCGTGAATGCCAGATGATTGGCAGAGGTCTCGTGGCCTGCGGGAAAGGAAAGTGGGGCTCCACACGGGACTGCGGGGCTGCTGCTGGCCCAGCCCACCCGCCTCTGAGCCCCTGAGCCCGTGGTGGCAGTTCAGGCCCTCACTTCTGCACCCTGCAGCTGAGCCGGGTATACAGAGATGAAGGAGACTGGCTGCCCCCGTCCACGTCCCCTGTGCCAGCCAGTGTCGTCCAATAAACAGCATTTGCCCGCACGCATCCGGATTTCACACTCTAAAAGCTCCTGCCTTCAACCATCCTTGAGCTTTGCCTGGCCTGGAGGGGTATTCATCCCATTTTGTAGAAGACAAAACTGAGGCTGAGAGTCGAGTCTCTTAGGCCACAGGATAGGACCTGGGGCTCAAGTCCAGCCCACAGCCGGTGTTGTCCCCAGGCGGTGGGCGCCACCCTTGAGGCCTGGAGAGGTTGTGCTTGTAGCTTCGAGGAATAGAGCAGTGGGTGGCTTCCCCTGAGACGGCAGGGGGTGTGCAGGAGCGGGAAGGCCACTTTTGAGTTCTGGCAGCATCCGGTCAAGTCCAAGCCCCCCGGCTGGCCCGGGAGGGGACCACCTGAGTTACGTGCATTTCCTCTGAAGGGGTAAGTGGTTTTACCAGGTGGCACCCACCGCCAGCCAAGGGGCCCGGGGCCTCCTGGGCTCGAGAGCAGGGCCTACACCTTTCAGTAAGTGGGTGCTGGGAAGTGAGGCTGCCTGCCGTCCCGCACCTGCGCCCCACGGTGTCTGGATGCAAGGTGCGGGGGTGGGCCGTGAGGTTAGAGGGAGATCATTAAACCCTCATTGGAGCGCTGGAGGGAAGTCTGGGGAGTGCCTCCAGGCCCCCATTTTAGAGATGAGGAAACTGAGGCCCAGGCCACAGAGCCGGCCTGTGGAGAAGCCACATCCCAGGAGGAACAGCTGGGTTCCTGGCTTGCAGGATGAGGCCAGCCATTGTCCGTTCAGCGAGCATTTTGGCAAGTGCAGGGAACAGTGCCCTGAAGTCCTGCTCCAACTCGGACATCGCTCTGGGGCTCCCGGGGTATCTGTGCCCACAGTGCTCCACACTGGGAGGGCCCTCTTCCACCCCCAATCCCCGCTCAGGACAGCCTTCCTCCTCTTTCATCTTGCAGGGGTGCATGCACCCGCCTCCGGAAATCCACTGGCCAGCAAAATCCCCAATTCATTCTGTCTGTCCACCTCCACCCTCAGACCATGAACTGTCCCTCGTCTTGTCCGCCCGCCTCTGTCTTTTGTGCCCAGCGTTCGTGCATTTGTTCACTCATTTCATCCACTCTGTACGCATCCGTGCTGCACTGGACCCCGGGAACACACAGGGAGCAGGGCATAACCCCTGGCTTACACCGAGCATGCAACCCGGTGAGGAAGATGAACCTTCTAGAATCGCCACAGATAAGTCCGTGGAGTAACCCTGTGAGTCCTGGGGGCAGAGAAGAGCTCTGGGCACCATGCAGAGCTCCGAACTGGGAGCCCGATGCAGTTGGGCAATCACTGAGGGCTTCCCGGAGGAGGAGGAGGCACTCAAGGGATCGCCGAAGGAGGAGTTTTCTAGATAAAGAAAGATGCTCAAGAAATAGCTCACGAGCAAAGGAATGAAGTTGCTTGGGGTGTCTTTTTGCGCTGGTCTAATAAAGGCCTCTGCCCCACAAATTCTGAGCGGGATGGAGCCTTGAGTGCACACGGTCAACCTCTCCTGAGCCCCAAAAGGCAGTGTCACGACCTGTCACAGTTGCCAGCTGCGTTGCCAGGTCAGCGGCCGCCGAGGGGGCCTCCTGGACCTCCTCGAGCAGAGAGAGGCCTTCTGTTCCTCTACCCCAGCCCCTCCATTCTGCGGCAGAACTTTGCTGCTCAGACAGCCCGAGAAATCTCCCAGAGTCAGAGTTTGGGGGACGCCTGGTTCCCACCATTTCTGCAAAGCCCTGAGCCCCCGGTCGCCACTGGAGCTACCAACCAGCAATGAAGAAGGTGACGAAGTTGTCCAGCAGGATCTCATCGTCCTGGGCCCCCTCTTCAGCTGGAAGACAAGGAGGGTGTCAGGGTGACACTCACGCCCCTCGCCCCCTTTCCCCATGGCTCAGCAGAGAACCAAACGCCCTTGTCCCCAGAAGCCAGACCTGGAGTCAGGGGTGATCAGTCACCCTGACGGGTGGCACCCTGATGCCCGGCCCTCCCAAGGTCCCCGCGGGCGCCCTCGAACCTTTGAGGATCTGTGTGAGGATGTCGGCAGGGACGTCCTCCCCCCGCTTCAGGGCCTCCCGGCGGCACTGGACCCAGTCCTTGCCAACCTGGCGCAGGAAGCGAACGCTTTCCCGGATCTCTCGCAGTTTCTTCCACTTCCCTGGCATGAACTGAGCGAGAGAGCTCCCGCTCGGGGCGCCAACCGAGCACGCGCGTCTCCCTCTCCCGCTCCCCCAGCTCCGAAACGACTTTAGAGACCCACAGCAGCACTGGCAAGCTGGGAGGCGGGAAGATTGTGAGAAAATTCTAGAAAAGATAAAGCAGCCAAGGAGACTAGACCAAGGTGGCAGGCTGAGCCTAAGCATCGACTTCCCCTTCCTGCTCCAAATCCCTAGATAGGATGGGAAAGATGCCTTGAAAGAGCCACATCGCACCGGCAAGTAACAAGGGACCCCTGAAGGGGGCAGGTGGCTAGGACCGCGTGGAAGGAGGAAGCCACGGCCAGAGGGAATCAACTGCTGAAAAAGATGGGGTGGCATCAGGGGGCTCCAAGCCCAGAGGCTGAAGTCCCAGGGAACAGGAAAGGGCCCTGGGCATCTGTCTGGGAATCCATTCGAGTACCACCTTTCTCCCTTCTCCCTCCTTCATGCCTGGAACAAGGAAGTGATGGCTGGAGCTGCCGCAGCCATCTTAATAACAATGAGGTGATGTGCTGGGGACAGTGGAACAGAAAGCTAGAAAATTCCACAAACATCTGACATTGGGGCGCTATCGCAGCCATCCTGGATTGCCTGCCTCAGGGTCATTTTACGTGAGAGAAAGACAGACTCCCGATTTACTCAAACCACCTTGAGTTTGAGTCTCTCCTTGCGGCGATCTACGCAGATCCTAACTGATGCGGAAGTCACTTGGGTCACACCAGAACTCCAAACCCATTCTGGAAAAAGGTCCCTGGAGGGGGTGCTCTGGCAAATTAGCACAGAGCTATGGTGGCTGGTCCTCAGAGGGGGTGTGGAGATGTTACCTTCGCCAGAGTGTTTCGAGATGCAGTGATGCCCTCCAGGATCAGTTTCACCTTCCGGGACAGAGGCTTCTGGGCGCCCAGCAGCATGCCTGTCTCCATCCCAAAAGCTGCCTGGGGGAGAGAGGGGGCCGAGGTCATCCCTGGGGGGGGGGGGGGGGAGGACTGGAAGACCCAGCATGGAGCCTGGGGCCGTTCAGCTAGAGACCCAGGCCCTGCACCAAGGGTTCATGTGCAGGCGGCATGGGCCCTGACCCATGACGACTCCAACCCCGTGGGATGCGGTGACGACTACGGGGCACAGTAGCCACCCCACCACCCTTGGCTTCCTTCCATGACAAATGCATTTGCCCTGAAATGCAGCCTTCCTTGGTGGCCCCTCTGCACCCAGCCTCCCAGTGAGCTGTAGAGCGACAATGACTCACTGTGCCTGTACTCCAGCCGCCAGGGCTGCCTAACCGTGTTGGGGGTCCCTGGGCCACCGCTGAGCCTGCCAGGTGCAGAGCCAAGCCAGACCCAGGGCAGGCGCCGAGGGGGAGGTAGGCTTCGAGCCGGGAGCCAGGCAGCCCTGAGACCCAATCCTGCTCCTGCCACTGACCAGACACAGGCCGGTCCCCACACCTTTCGGCGTCCGGCGTCTGGAGAGCGCATTCGTTGCTGTGGTCTCGAATGTTCGAGGAGACAGGGGGCTCCCCACCCAGAGAAGGGGCCGATGCTGGGGGAGCAGGAGGGAGGGCGAGCGCAAGGAAAGGGAAGACAGAGGGAGGAGCAGTGGTGGGCCCCGGGTGGCACCGCCCCCTCCCGGGGCCCGCCGTGCTCCGGTCACCTTGGCCAGGATGTCCATGGTGGTGCAGGTCAGCATGTCCTGCATGGACACTGGGGTCTGCCCATCTGCCTTGGCCTCCAGAATCTCCACCAGCTGCTCCGCCTTCTCGTTGAACGTTTCCATCAAGCTGACCAGGGAGCTGGGGAAAGAGCACAGCTGTCAGGGGCCTCCAGGACCAGCCCAGTCATCCCGCGGCCCCTCTATGTGGGGGGACCAGTGGGCAGAGTGGAGGTGGCCGTCCCTTGAGGCCTGGCTCCCAGGTTGGGGTTGCAGTCATCAAGCCAAGCCCTGGGGCTTCGCCATCCCCCTCAGGACGAACGCTGTCCCTTTGCCTTTGCCTGGATGATTCCACGGGGCGTTTGCCACGGGGCCCCTCAACTCTGACCTCCATTGATCGTGGCAGTGGAGGGACTCCAGGCGACACAGGGTGGGAAGGGAAGCGAGGCCTCTGGGCGCCCCCTGCAGCTGAGGACGGGCTCACTGGGGTCCCAGCCATGGACCCCTCTGCTCGCACCGCCCACTCTCCTCACCTGCCCTGTCCCGGTCGCCACCTGCAGCCTGCTTTCCCATTTCATTCCCTGTCCCTGAGCAATCACAGCCCCCAACTCTGCATGGAAATGAGTCCTCAGACCCAGAACTCCCTACCCACAGCACTCCTGGCCCGGGGACAGCTACCCCGGCTCATCACCCGAACACAGAGCCTAGGGAGAAGTATGGAAGGACACGCTCCAAACTCACAAGAGATGGTGACCCCGAGGAAGGGAGAGAAGGGAGGTTGTTTCTTGGTGCATTACATGTTTCTGAACTTTTACTAAGAAAACCTGTTGCTTTTGTAATCAGAAGTGATTTTTGATGTTACCAATCTGGGTAAAGGGTAGGGGGTGTTATTTCTCTTATTCTTTCTTTCTTTTTTTTTATTTTTTTTTAACGTTTATTTACTTTTGAGACAGAGAGAGACAGAGCGTGAACGGGGGAGGGTCAGAGAGAGAGGGAGACACAGAATCTGAAGCAGGCTCCAGGCTCTGAGCTGTCAGCACAGAGCCCGACGTGGGGCTCAAACTCACGGACCGCGAGATCATGACCTGAGCCGAAGTCGGACGCTCAACCGACTGAGCCACCCAGGCGCCTCTTTCTTTTTTTAATTGTTTTTAAGTTTATTTATTTATTTTGAGACAGAGAGCACGAGCTTGAGCAGGGGAGGGGCAGAGAGAGAATCCCAAGCAGGCTCCGTGCTGTCAGCGCAGAGCCCGACATGGGACTCGATCTCACGAACCGCGAGGTCATAACCTGAGCCAAAACCAAGAGTCAGATGCTTAACTGACGGAGCCACCCAGACGCCCCTCTTTGTCCTATTCTTATTCTTGAAACTTATTCAGAAATTTGAAATGGTTTCCAAATAAGAGGTTCTTAGAGAAAATGGGAGGAAGGGGAATTTTTAATCAGGAAAGAAAATCGCTCTTCATTGCCCGTCCACCGGTCCTGCCCTGGCTCCCGGCTCCGTGGGGCCCCAGCATTCTTGCTCACTGCTGCCCAGCCCCCACCCAGCCACCTGCAGGGTTCACCCTCCGCGGCCTCTACTGAAGGCACCACTCTGCTCCAGTCCCTTGCCAACCGAAAACGCTCCAAGGCACCTGTCACTCTGAACAGTGTGGGGAACATCCTTACGTGGACACAGAGGGAGTTTGTCACGTTGATGCCCACCTGCAGCTCTGTCTCCTGTTACCATGGCCTTTTAGTGCTTCCGCAGCACAAGGATCCTTCCCACCTCAGGGTCTTTGCACATGCTGTCCCCTCTGCTGGGGGTCTCTGTCCTCCCACCCTCCATCCCTAGGCCCTGTTACTACTCGCACACCTGCCCGCTCTCCAGATGGATACCCGAAAGCCACCTTCCCAGGAAAATGTCTCTTAAAGCCTCAAGTAGCCCCTATACGTGCTTCCGTAGCTAGTCGACTTCTCCAGGACACTTACATGGTTTTGCAAGTATATATTTATACGTGAGATTATTTGTAGTTGTCTTTTTTTAAAAGGTTGACTGTTTGGGTGGCGCATGGCTGACTGTCACACTACCACTGAATCTCTTGTGGACGTGACAGATATAAAATGTTGGGCTGGAGTGTTTGTAGTATGGTAAAATCCCAACCCCCTTGTTTTGTTTGTTTTTTGTTTTTTGTTTTTTTAATTTTTTTTTCAACGTTTATTTATTTTTGGGACAGAGAGAGAGACAGAGCATGAACGGGGGAGGGGCAGAGAGAGAGGGAGACACAGAATCGGAAACAGGCTCCAGGCTCCGAGCCATCAGCCCAGAGCCCGACGCGGGGCTCGAACTCCCGGGCCGCGAGATCGTGACCTGGCTGAAGTCGGACGCTTAACCGACTGCGCCACCCAGGCGCCCCTGTTTTGTTTTGTTTTTATTGAAATGGTTGAGACCAAGGCCTTCCAGTAAAAGTAGTAATCTAGAAAAGCAGAAACTGGCAATTTATGGTCATGATTTTATTAAGAGTATATGATGATGTTCTGCGTAGATAATGGCTGGAGAGGACACTCACCAGAGGGTTCTATTTTCTCACCGGTGAAGGCGGATTCACCAAGAACTCTACCACGTTCACAAACACAACCAAGTGGGCTCCCAGAGCTTCTTCATACAACTTTGTGAACATTGCCTTTCTAATAAAACAGCCATCTCTTAGATGATTACCTTATTGTGAGACACAAATAAAATTGTGTGGTGACATCAGCCCAACAGCGTGAACATACTTGATGCCATGGACTGTGCACATAAAAATGAGCCAGACGGTATGTGTATCTTAACACAATTTAAAAATCTTTGAATAAAAACGCCTATGAAAGCTCTTAATAAAACACAAAGTGCTGTTCGAATGTGAGGTCCTACGTGCTGGGGATGGTTCACCAAGACAGAGATGCTGGTATTAATGTCATGACCGCTGCAGGAAGTCAGCTGGTTAGAATCTATAGCCTCAAAGCTTCCTGCGGGCAGCAGCTATATCACCTTGGCTGGCTCTTGTAACCCTGGCTCTTGGCACAAGAATGTATTAATTGAAGGCCTCTTTCTAGTCTGTTCCTCCTCATTCTCACTCCTGGCAACTTTCCAGTGAGGGCAAGACTATCCCAATTCATTATTTCACTCATATTTTCATTCACGCTATGGACTTCCCGGAGAGTTCACAAAGGGCCAGGTGCTGTGCTGAGCGCAGGAGTCCAGGGACAGGGTGCGTCTTCTGCCTTCTGCCCACAGTCTGGTGGCGAAGGTGGGCTGAATGAGAATCATTGCAGTGGGTGTGACAGGAGCCATGCTGGAGGCATAAACTCAGCCTCAGAGGATCAGGGACCACGGCTCCCTAACAGTGACATCTTAGCTGGGTATCAAAGGAATCACAGGAATTTTGCAGGGGAGCACACAAGGCAGAGAGAAAGGCAAGGACATAGGCAGAGATGCCAGAAAGAGCCCAGATGTCCCAAAAGATGGAGGAAAGAGGGTACAAAGGCTGGAGGGGTCTGGAGGCCAGACTGGGGGTGGGTGAAATCTGACCTTCATCTTTCATGTGATAGGGAGCCTTTGAAGGCTTCAGGATAGGAAAGTGATGTGAATTTTAGCAAGATCTCCCCAGGGGTGGTGAGGTGGATGCATTGGAGGAGGTAGGGAGGCCAGGGAGGTTGTGATGAAAGTCTATGTGATTATGTATATATAGTCAGATATAGTCAACCACAGATTATGCACTAACTAGTAACTTAATGGTGGAAAAACCTGGAGGACGCTGTCTCTGACAAGGGAGTGAAGTTAACATCTCCTGCAATGAGGCAGGTCAACAACGCAGGTCTCCTAATATGATGCCCTGAGGACACAACACCAGTTCTGTGCCATTCCTGCCAAAAAAGGCATAACCTGAGACACACAAAATTGATGGACGTTCTACAAAACTGGCCTGTAATCTTAAAATCAGGGAAGTCACGGAAAGACAAAGATCTGTTCCAGCACAAAGGAGGCTTATGAGATGTGGGAACTAAGTGTAACCTGTGATCCGGGGTTGGACCTCAGACAAGGAAAAAAATAGCTATAATGACAAGGACAATGACAAGACTCGAATGCGGATTGTAGATTAGATAACTGTATTGGATTAATGTTAAATCTCCTCATTTTGATAACTGACATCCAAAATAATGTCCACGTTTTTAGGAAATAAGTATTTAAGGGAAGGGATCACAGTGTCTCTAACTTGCTCTCAAATGGTTTTAAAAGTACACTATATTAAAAAATTGTAAATATACACACACACACACACACAAAGAATGATAAATATGTTTATATATGCACATCCAGAAGAAATGATAAAACAAATGGTGATTTAAACAATAAACAATAAGCGAACCTGGGTAAAAGATACATAGAAGTAGCTTAGACTGTTCTGGAAATTTTTCTGTAAATTTGAAATTATATCCAACTAAAAGATAACCTTCCTCAAAATGTTAAGCACAGAGTTCCCCTATGACCTGGCAATCCCATCCCTAGGTATGTACACACTCAAGAGAAGTGAAAACATACACCTACACAAAAGCTTGTACACAAATGTTCATGGCAGCATTATTTGAAACAGCCAAGATTGGAAACATCGCAAATGTCTACCAGCTGATGAATAGACAAGCAAAATGTGGTATGTCCATACAATGGAATTTCATTTGGCAATTTAAAAAGTGAAGTTCTGAAAGAGGCTTTAGCATGGATGAACCTTGAAAACCTTCTCTCTGAGTGAGAGAAGCCAGACACAAAAGAAATGTTGTATGAGTCCATTTACAAGAAATGTCTGGAATACGAAAATCCATAGAAATGAAAAATAAATTAATGGTTGCCCAGGGCTGAGCCCATTGAGGGGAAATGGGGAGTGCCTGCTTTTTGGGGTGATGAACATGTGCTAAATTTGACTGTGGTGATGGTTGTTCCATTTTGTGGATAAGTAGGGAAAATATATGTTATAAAAACCCCATCTCAATAAAAGTTATTTAGGGGCACCTGTGTGGCTCAGTCAGTTGAACATCTGATTTTGGTTCAGGTCACGATCCTGCAGTTTGTGAGTTTGAGACCCATATGGGGGCTGTGTCAGCGGGGAGCCCACTTCAGATCCTCTGTCTCCCTCACTCTCTGCCCCTCCCCCACTCATATCATACTCTCTCTCTCTCTCTCTCTCTCTCTCAAAAATAAATAAATAAATAAAAAGTTATTAAAAAATAAAATGTTACTAACAATGAGAACGCTAATAAGGAAAATAAAAAGCCAGAGGAGGAGTGATGAGGTCTGAGCAGGGAAGTTCTTGGGGGGAAAAAGACCCCATCCCCAGGCATCAGTGTTACTCAGCCCTTGATGGCTAGCCCCTTGTCCCCCCAGCAGCCTGCCTGGCTCTCCCCTCTACCTTCAGCCTGGGCGAGGCCCCCTCCGGTGAAGACCTCTCTTTTCCCAAGACCCGCCTTCTTGGATACACTCACCTGCGGCTGAAGGCTAAGTCCATGACCCTGCGTTGCTTGTGCCAGCGCTCATAGTCACATTCTGACACCAAACCTTGGCCAAACAGTCTGGGGGAGACAAATGCTTGATGTGAGAAACAGGAAGGGACAGGGGGACCGATGGCTTGATGGGGACAGGGTCAGCTTTGGGGATGATGGAAATATTCCGGAACTACACAGTGGTGATGGTTACACCACACTGTGAATGGACCAAATGCCACTGAATTGTAAGCCCAATGTGGTTAAAATGAAGAATTTTGTGAATTTTACCAAAAATAAAAAATAAAAGAAATACAAAAGAAATGGGGGTGATCATGTGCACCAACCTTGCAACCCCCACACTCCCGCCTGCTATCCACAGGGGAAAGAGGAGAAGGGAGGTGATAATGACGAGAGCAGCAGCCACCATTTATGGGGCACCTGTGGTGTGACTGATAGCCAGGGCCTTGGTCTTCATGCTACACCCAATGCCCTGGGCCCCATGGGCTGTCTGCTTGCAGCCAGAGGCATTCCTGGCCTCTCCCCCAGCCCCTCCGCATGCCTTACCTCTCGCCAAACACGGTCTGGATTGCATGGTACATCTTGGAGTCCTTGTTGTACTTGGTTGACATCAGGAACTTCTAAACATCCCCAAAAAGCCAACGTGAGCTCATGTACCCATGAGACGAAGCAAAGGATTCAGCAGTTTTCTGGACTCTTGTGAAACACGCCCCAACAATCACCACTGACCGGGTGCCAGTTGTGGTGTGAACACCTCATTCCGTGCAATCCCACCTAACCTTCCAGAAGTCCTGTCTTCAAGCAATAGCATCTTGCTTGGGGGTGAGGAAAGTGGGGCAGAGAGGGGTGAAGTGATATTCCTGTGGCCACTCAGCTGGAGTGGCATTGTGGGGGGTCCTCACTTCCATGCCCATGCACAGATCTTGTACCGCACCACCTTCTAAAGCAGTGAGAACAAGAAAATGCAGGTGCTGCTCTGAAACCAGAATAGGGAAGGGGAGAAGCCCGGAGGGAGGGCTTCTGGGACACAGGAGACACACTTGGCACAGGTTCAGGGGCTGTTAGTGCCAACCCAGCCATGGAAGCCAAGGAAGGCTTCCTGGAGGAAGGACCAACTTGCCTCGCCACAAGCCGGATGGTAGCAATAATAACATTAGCTGATGGCTCTTGAGCCAGCATAGCCCAGTGGTTAACAGCTCAGGCCATGGAGTCAGCTGGCTTGAATTTGGATCCGCGCTCACCATCTTGGCTTTGCCCTGGACTCACTTCATGACCACAGGCAAGTTATTCTGGGGAGGTTGCTGCAATGGGTAAATTTGTTCTACTTGAAAAGTGCTGAGAAAAGTGCCTGTCACACAGCACGTGCCCCGTAAATGTCAGGTGCACAACAGCACCTGTAGCTCATTTAGTGCTCGGTCAATCCTAAGATGTGGGTGCTGTGTTTATGCTCATCTTACATATGATGGAGAAACTGAGATTTCAACGTTTTTATTTATTTTTGGGACAGAGAGAGACAGAGCATGAACGGGGGAGGGGCAGAGAGAGAGGGAGACACAGAATCGGAAACAGGCTCCAGGCTCCAAGCCATCAGCCCAGAGCCTGACGCGGGGCTTGAACTCACGGACCGCGAGATCGTGACCTGGCTGAAGTCGGATGCTTAACCGACTGCGCCACCCAGGCGCCCCAGAGAAACTGAGATTTAAAACTAGCCCAAGGTCACACACATGGTGAATGGTGGAAACAGGATTTGAATCCCAGCAATTTGCCATGGCAGAGAGGGAAGAGAAGGCTGTGATCCAGCCAGGGGAAGCCCAGGCCACTTGCTGCATTCAGGCAGAATGAGAGGTAGGGATGGGCATGAGCGGGGGCTGGATCCCAGAGGCCTGCCTTCTGGCACCCTGAGCTTCAGCCTGTGGGCACTGGGAAGCAGGAAGATGGTATCTCCATTGTACATGAATCCAGGGGCTTCTGGTATCTGGGAGCTTAGCTCAGGGATCTAATATCAATCTTTTAGCTAAAAGGAACCCCCCAAAATGGCTGACCTTGGGGCATGAGCCACATCCTGAGAACCCCACCCCCACCCAAACACTGTCATTTGTAAACGAACTTTCCTCACTACCCATGCCTGCAGGCCCCATCCCCATGGCAGTAAAGACCCACCTCCCAGGTCCCTCTCAAACATTCCTAAATTGTCCAAGGTCTGGACCAACCCTCCCAACCTAAAGTGAGGAGTCCCCACACTGAGGCACAGCAGCCTCAACACAGGCTCTAATCAGGTGCCCCCAAAGTCAAGGGTCCCCATGCCTGTTGTCTCTGGGGCTGGGGATCCTTTGAAGGCCCAGTGAGCTGGGCTCTGGGATGTGAGGAGTGCATGGGGGCACCCCCAGCACCTTCTCTGCTGTCCACACTGGCAGCACACTTCTGCCCACTAAGGGATAACTGCTGGGGACTTGTCCTCCTGCCATAAGTAATCAGAAAAATAGGCATAATGCATGAAATGTCTGTTTTCAGACACTGAGCAACAGGAAGTGCAGGATTGTGAATCCTAAAAGAAGGAAAAGGAAAAAAAAAAAAAGATATGAGACCTATGACCGAAGATTACTCTAGCTTTCTGCAATTTCAGGATAAAGGCACTAAAAGATGAAACTCAAATATAGCCCCGTAGGCTTTCCAATTTGATGAGACAGATCAGAGTCCAGACATACAAGAGGAGGCTAGAACTTGTATGGCAGAGGACCTGAGGGGAGGGAGCCATGTAGAGAAAGAGCTCCTGTGCAGAAATCTGCATAGGGATCCCCTACATCTTCGAATGAATACCAGCCTGTGTACATGCACCATGGACACAAAGCTGAGTTAAAAACAACTTTTGGGACAAGGAGAATTACCGAGTAACTACAGGCTGAAGAGTTCTCAGAGCTTACACAGGCCAAGAACTGTTAAAGTTCCCACTGGCCAGAGGTAAACTTCAGACATAAGCCCTTTATTAGCGGCCCCCAGAAGAAAGAGTCACTCCTTGGTAGTGAGGCTTAACTAGTTCTAGAGTAAAAGCCAACCCTAAATAAACCCTACAAAAGCCTCAAAGCAAACCTGGAAAGGATCAGACTGATCTACACAAATAACTTTACCATCTGCCAGAATGAATTCCAGCACTCTTTAAAGGAATAAAACAAAACTGAGAACTCAACAGTGTACAATGCACAATGTCCAGGGGCCAACATAAAATCACTAGACACGTCAAAGAGCAGAAAGATCTACCTATAACCAGGCTCAGAAATAATAGAGATGATGGAATTTGCAGAAAAGAACTTTAACACATTTATTATAAGTATTGCAAATGTGGTCAAGGAACCCACATATCCAGGAAGTGCAAAGACTCCTACATAGAATTAACAACAAGAAAAGGTACATGAAGGCAGATCATAATCAAATTTCTGAAACCAGTGATAAAGAGAAAACCTTAAAAGCAGACAGAGATAAAATAGTAGATTGATATAAGTTAAAGATTATACTATAAACCCTAGGACAACCACTAAGAGAGAAAGAAAGAGAGCCAATAATCAAATAGTGGAGATAAAGTGGAATACTAAAACATACTCAATCCAAAAGAAGGCAGGAAAGGCAGAGAGGGGAATGAACAACAGGACAGAGGAAAAACAGCCACGTGGTAGATTTAAACCCAACCATATCAATAATTACATTCAACGTAAATGACCTAAGCACTCCAGTTAAAAGGCAGAGATTGTCAGACAGTATAAAGCAACCAGACCAGACTATATGCTATCTATAGGAAACCCACTTTAAATCTAAAAACCCAGATAGGTTAAAAGTAAAAGGATGGTAAAAAGATATACCAAGCAACACTAAGCAGAAGATAGCTGGAGTGGCTATATTAACACCAGACAAAATATCCTTCAGGAAATGGAATATTACCAAGGATAAAGGGGACATTTCTAAAAATAAATCACACAATTCATCACAAAGACATATTAATCCTAAATGTGTACACACCTAATAACAGAACTTCAAAATACATAAAGCAAAATCGGTACAACCTAAAGTAGAAATAGAAAAACCCATGATTGTGGTTGGAGAGTTTGACATTCCTCTCAGAATAATTGCTAGAACAAGTATGCAGAAAATTAGTGAGGACTTAAAAGATATGAATAACACTATCAACCAACTTGATCTAGTTGACATTTCTGAAATATTCCATTCAACAATTACAGAATATTCATTCTTTTGAAGTACTCATGGACATTCACCAAGATAGACCATGTGCTAGGTCATCAAACAAGCTTCAATTTTTTTATGTGGATTGAAATCATGAAAAGTATTTCATCTGCCCTTACAGAATAAAATTAGAAATCAATAACAGAAATTTATTTGTAAATATCATAATATTTAGAAAGTGAACAATATGCATATAAATAATCCCTGATTCAAAGAAGAAATCACAAGGGAAGTTAGAAAATATTTTGAACTGAATGAAAAAAGAAGCACGACATATTGAAATGTGTGGTACATTTGTCCCTAACGTAGTATTTATAAGGAAATGTATAGATTTAAATGCTTATATTAGAAAAGAAACAGGTCTAAAATCAATTTTCTAAACTCCCACCTTAAAAATTTGAACAAGAATAAATTAAACCCTAAACGAATAGAGGAAGGAAATAATAAAGAGCAGAAATCAATAAAGTAGAAAATGGACAAACAATGGAGAATTGCAATAAACCCAAAAGCTGGTTCTTTGAAAAGATAAATAAAATTGATAAACCTTTTGCTAGCTTGATTAAGAAAATAAAAGAAAGCCCAAATTATTTGTAGGAATGAAAGAAGGGATATCGCCACAGATCCAGGAGACATGAAAAAGGAAATCAATAAATATTATGGACAACTTGATACCAAGAATTTTAATTAGATGAAATGGGCAAATTCCTTGAAAGACACAAATTACAGGGGTGCCTGGATGGGTTCAGCTCAGGCCATGATCTCGCAGCTTTGTGGGTTTAAGCCCCTCATCTGGCTCTGCACTGAATCACAGAACCTGTCTGGGATTCTCTCTCTCTCCCTCTCTCTCTGTCCCTCCCCAACTTGAGCTGTCTCTGTCTCTAAATAAATAAATAAATAAATAAAGACATAAATTACCAAACCCAAGAAAAATAGCAACTCTGAATGGTCATAAATCAATTAAATAAATTGAGTAATTAAAACAAACAAAAAGCACTTCCATCAGAGAAAATGCCAGGCCCAGATGGCTTCACTGGTGAATCCTATCAAACATTAAAGGAAGGAATAACACCACCCCATAGAAACTCCTTCAGAAAAATAAAGGAGAGGGGACATTTCCCAACTCATCTTGTGAAGCCTATTAATCTGATCCCCAAACAAGTATAAAAACAAAAACTCTTAGAAGATGAGCAAATTGTATCATGAGAGCTGGAATGCAAGGTTGGTTTAACACTTGAAAAGTAATCCATGCAATGCATCATATTAATATATATTGTTCAACTTTTCTCATTGAGCATCATGAAGGTCTTTGTGTATGGCTTTTGGTAGCATGCTTTAAAAATCTTTAAAAATTTTTTTTAACGTTTATTTATTATTTTGGAGAGAGAGAGAGAGAGAGCAGGAGAGGGACAGAGAGAGAGGGAGCCACAGAATCCAAAACAGGCTCCAGGCTCCGAGCTGTCAGCACAGAGCCCGACGTGGGGCTCGAACCCACAAACTGTGAGATTGTGACATCACAAGTCAGATGCTTAATCAATTAAGAGACCCAGGTGCCCCTAAAAATCTTAAACTGTGTCTACACTTAAAATTAAGCTTTACAAAAAAAGTATTTGTTACATCCTTTTAGAGACACCATGGTTGTTCGGCTTTTCTCCTGATCTGGACCCTAAGTTGCATCTTCTCCCTGTCATGCCAAGGCTCACTCTGCTGAGTACCCACTGTGAGAAAAAGAGCACCATCATTTATTGAGCAACTGCTCTGTGCCAGGCATGGGCTAGATGGCTCAAACATGCTATTTTGCCACCTGTAAGAGGCATCATCCCTATTTTACACATGAGGAAACTGAGGCCCAGAGTGGTGACAGAGCCTAGACTTGAGCCCACGTCAGCCAAGTCCAAGGTAAACGATCTGAGGGCCATTCTTAGTCCCCAGATCGCAGGCACCGCCCTCCACGTAGTCCAGACCAATCAGTGCTGACCGTCTCAGTTTCCTGATCTCTAAAATGGGGACTGATAACAGTCTCTACCCCCGTGAGGATTAAATGGGTTCATAATTGCGAAGTAAAGAAGTACATGTTTAAGTATCTTTTGCCCCTTTGCTTGTTAAATAAATATGTGTTGATATAAACATTTGTTAAATGAATCAATTGATATTGAAATCTCATGGTAGCCCTGAGACAGAGGGGTTATGATCCCACCTCGAAGATGAAGGAACCAAGGCTAAGAGGGGTGAGCTAGCTAAACGTGTGCACATCACTTGGGCAAAACTCCCAAATGGTGGGTGTTCAGAGAGAAAGATGCCACCGACTTTTGGATCCTTGGGAAATGAGCCCGAGTGCTGGTGACTCTGAGACATTTCTCTTACAGCCTCTGGGGTCGAGTTTTGTGCCCCAACCCAGGGAAGGGAAGGGAAGGGCTCTCCCCATAGAAACTGCTCTGCCTCCTACCTTGACCGACTCGGGGCTCGTGACGATGACTGAGGTTTTGTGGAAGACGTTGACCCGCACGACGGGTCCGTACTTCTTAGCCCTGGAAACCAAAATGACCCAAAGGAGGCTGTCAACGACCAGAGATGTGAATATCATCACCACCCAGCGGGAGGATCAGGGTGTCCCATCCCAGGAGGGGCTTAACACGGACTCACTGCCGAGTCACATCCCACACTGGGTCTCAGTTTTCAAACCCATGAAATAGGGTCGCTACACTCCTCCTTTGACCCAAAAGATTTTGCTGGGAATCAAGCGATATCATGTCTTTGAAATGCTTTGGAAAGTGCGAAGCACCACCACGTACAAGGACTGTTACTGAGTCACACCCCCCACCCAGCTTACAGACAAGGACACTGAGGCTCAGAGTTTCTGATGTCTGGTCTCAGGTCACACAGCTGCCAAAGGCAGAGGTTGCCCTCTGAACCAGCCTCCTCTGCCTCTGCACTCAGGGGAGGGACTTCGGGGGTGGGAGTGACCTGGCCGGGGAGGCGGGAGTGTGTGTGCTGGCCTGGGGAAGGGGTGGGGCTGCCCCATGAGGGACCTGGGCTGGAGTAAGGGCAACAAATGACAATTAGGACCCACCAATCCAAAAACACATCTTGGAGCATGCGGCCACAAACCTCATCCTTTTTCCAAAAGTAGGGAAGATGTCCTAGAAGGAAACTAGAAGAAATGGGAAACATTAAGATCACCCGAAGTCACCATTAAAGAGTGCTCCCTTCCCCCACAGGACCCTGTGAGGGTGGCCTTATTAGGCCCACTTTGCAGATGGGACGACTGAGGCCCGAGGAGGCACGGCACTGGCTCAGGGCACCCAGTGTAAGAATGCAGGCAGGATGCAAATACAGGTCTGGCGGGTTCCCTGGTGTGGAGGGGAGGGGCTGTCGTGTGGAAAGGGTCCCATAGTGCTGTGCCGAATTACCTGGAGACATCCCCTGAATACTGACTACATACATGCTGGGCGCCATGCTGGGCCTCATTCCATCTGTCCTCCCCCTACTGCCTGGAGGTAGGTCTATTGTTAACCTGGCTTACAGGTAGGGCAGCTGAGGCTGAAGAGGTGGTCACCTGTCCACGGCTGCGCGGCTGGCACCAAGGCATCCCACGGTCCTTCTCACCAGGGGATGGTTTGGTCACACTAAGTCCGCCGTGGGTGGGTGATCAACGGAATGTCAACAAGTCTATCTGGCGTCACCTGGTGGCACATTTGACAGGTGCTTCCTGTCTCCTGCATGGCTTATTCCAGTCAAGCTCACTCACGACCCCATCCAGAACGGGTGACAGAAACTACAGGTGGGGCTTTCTGAGTCGGGGAACTCACCTTCTCCTGGAGATAGAGAGTGAATTAACAAGAAGAAGAAGAAGAAGAAGAAGAAAAAAGAAAAGAAAAGAAAAAAGAAAAGAAAAGAAAAAAGAAGGATGGGGGAAAAATCAGAGGGGGAGGTAATCAGAGCTGGGGATAGGAGTAGGCGATGCCATTTTCTACAAGCAGGTCGGGAATGGCCCTTTAAGAAGGTAACATGGGACACTTGGGTGGCTCAGTCAGTTAAGCATCCCACTCAGGTTATGATCTCGCGGTTCGTGGGTTCGAGCACCGCGTCGGGCTCTGTGCTGACAGCTCAGAGCCTGGAGCCTGCTTCGGATTCTGTCTCCCTTTCTCTCTGCCCCTCCCCAACTTGCGTGCACGCGCGCTCTCTCTCTCTCTCTCAAAAATTGAATAAACACGAAAAAAATTTTTTATAAAAAAAAGAAGGTAAACGTGAGCTGCAATAAATGAGGACTAGCCTACCCAGGTACCTGGGGGAAGAGCATTCCAGCAAAGGAGATAGCAGGTGCAAAGATCCCAAGGTAGGAATGTGCGTGATAAGTTCAAGGAACAGTGAGAAGGTGTTGTGGTTGGAGTAGAGTGAGGGAGATGTGATACAGGATGGGGTCACCAAGGGAGGGGGCAGATCGCCAAGGGCCTTGCGGGCTGGTGTCAACACTGCTCTGACCTTGAAAAGCAGAGGGCCACCTGAGGGTCTTGAGCAGAGCAGAGACAGGGTCTGACGGGTTTTCAATGGCTCCCTCTCACAGCTGCTGTGCTGGGAGTAAACGGGGTGGGTGGGAGGCAGGAGTGGAGGCAGGGGCACCAGCAAGGGGCTGGGGGAGGGGATAGGGCGCAGACCAGTGAGAAGCCGGGTTCCCAGGGCAGGTTGGAGGAGGAGCCAAGCAGACTTGCTGGGGGTGTGGACGAGGGTGGGAGGGTGGTATCAGGCTGCCCCAAGGCTTCTGGCCTGATCCTTGGAAGGATGAGTGGAGCTGCCGTGTCCTAAGGTGGGGAGGACCAAAGAGGGACTGGTTGCAGGGCAGCAGACCGCATCGGGCCCGCCTCTGCCCTCGTTCATGCAGCCAGGAAGGTTTTGGGGGGCAGCATGGAGACACTGCCTGGGGCTCCCGGCTCTGCCTGCAGGAAGGACGGGCCAGGAGTTCCAGCTCAACACCCCCAGAGCAGCCCCCCACCAATGACCTTGCGCCCTGCACCTTGGTGGGGTCGGCTCTCAGCGCTCCCCCAGGGGGTTGCACCTCACTGGCCCCCCAGAGGTAATTTGCTTTATTGGCTTTTTTTATTGACCTCCTCTCTCTCTGCATTCCCAACTCCCACAGGGATCACCGCCCAACCCCCCAAACCACTTACATTTCTTTTCTCTCTCTCTCTCTTTTTTTTAGAGCGAGAAAGACAGAGCATGAGCCAGGGAGGGGCAGAGAGGGAGGGAAAGACAGAATCCCAAGCAGGCTCCATACCATCAGTGCAGAGGCCCCACATGGGGCTCGAACCCACGAACTGCGAGATCATGACCCGAGTCAAAGTCGGACGCTCAACCGACTGAGCCACCCAGGGGCCCCCGTTTCAATTCTTGCCTCAGGATCAATGTCTGGGAACCAACCTGAGACAAGCGGACTAAATCCGGAGTCGGGCTTTGAACCTGGCAGGTTTGCAGAGGAAAGCACCAAGGGCAGGGTGGGAAGAAATGCTTGGGGCCAAGGCCAGAGATGTAAATGTGACAGTCCTCCGCTGAGAGGCAGCCCTTACAGCCCAGCAGCTGGATTAGACCACAAGGGGGTGAGTGTAGACAGAGAAGGGACCCGAGGACTGAGCCAGGCAGCAAAGGGACAACCAGCCAGGGAGACTGAACAGAAGACACCAGAGGAGAGCCGAGGGAGAGTGGAGCGGGCAGCCTGTGAAGAAAGCAGGCCAAGGGGACAAGGGAGGGACTTGTCCAGGGTCAGGCAAGACGAGGGAGGACTGCAGGGCCACCGTGTGTGTGTGTGTGTGTGTGTGTGTGTGTGTGTGTGTGTGTGAGAGTGTGTGTAGCTACAGGGAGATCACTGGGACTTTGGTCAAAGCAGGGTGGGCTGATCGGGAGAGGTGGGTGCCAGAGCCCGATGGGGTGTTGGGCCCAAGACAGGAGGGGAGGGAGGGATGGGGACCCAAAACAGGCTTCTCAGGGGGACTGTTGAGGGGGTGCAGAGACAAGGGGGCGGCAGCTGGAGGGAACGAGAAGGGAAGGGAAGGGTGGTTGTTCTTTTACAACATGTTATATAAAAATGGGAATGATGCTGGAGAGAAGGAAAACTGATGACATGGGAGAGAAGGGGCCCCGCTGGGCGGGGTCGCCGAACCCAGGGGACGGCTCTCCTTGGCCGGGAGCACCTAGGTCCCAGTGGGAAGGGCGTGTGGGCCCGGGTGCAGGGAAGGGGGTGGCTGTGGTGGCAGAACCCCGGAAGGAAGTTCTCTCAGGCTGTTCCATTTACCCAGGGAGGTAGGAGGTAGGAATCAAGCCTGAGAGTGGGGACAGAGGGGGAGGTGGCAGGGCCTGAGGAGAAGCGAGATGGCGCCAAGAGTGGGCGGGCAGATGCGGGAGGAAGCAGGGCAGTGTGGCCGCCCGGCAGCTGAGGCCCACTCAGGGTGAGTGGCTTTGAACTGACAATGCCCCACCTGCAGAAAGATGGCCTGTGGACATCACGCGCGCCTGGCTGTGTTTCCAGAATAACCTAGTAACCGTGGCCACTGCCGTAGCTGCGCACTTGGGGAGGATGTTCTGTTTTGAACACCTGAGCGATAGGCCCTCTCCACCCCACCAGGCCTGTCTGAGAGCCTCCGCCTGCAACGCTGGGGCCCAATGCCACTTGGGGAAGAAGGTGAGTGACACCTCAAGAAGGCCAAGGCGACGGAGAGGCGTGAGGTTCCCAGTGCCCGGCAAGAAAGGGGACTAAAACCCATTCCTTCCCGTTCCTGCAGGGGGACACCGGGGAGGGAAAGGCAGAGCCGGAAGACCGGGCGTTGGAAACAAACAGGTAAGGGATGTTAGGATTGGGGGATGGTGGAATGCTGAGACTGGGGTGGGGGGCTGAGAGAAGTCCACCTGGCATGTCCCTGTCGGTAGGCGCGATAAGACAGAGCAGTCCAGGGAGAGAAAGGAGGGTGAAAACCCCCCTCCCCTGCCCGGTCCCTGGCACATGCCCTTTCCTGTAATGCTGCGGTTGGCACAGTGGGAATCAAGGTTCCCTGAGGACAGAGAACGTGTTGGATAATAAAGGAGAAGAGGTCATCCGGACAGCCCACGGTGAGGCCAGCCACAGGGATGAAGGGAGCCACATGACAGCTTGGGGTGTGGATGGGGGCCACTGCCGGGAGTGAGGGTGACGGGCCATGGCTGCCTCGCGCCAGTGGAATGGGGCGACGATGGCTCCAATTGGATGCACTGCCCAACAGAGCCGGCAAGGGGTCTCCACCATCGCCAGGAACCATCGGGCAATTTATTGAACAGACCTCACCTCTGGCAACTTGACAAGCAGGGAGCAGAGGAGGAAACCCGTGCCAGCCAGGAGTCATACTGGAAAAACCGTTCTAAAATAAAACCTGGAAGGGCGAGACTTCTTGTTGCCAAGTTTACATTCATCCCACGCTACCAGGAGCGCGGGGGGTTGATGGGAAAGTTGGGAACAGCAACAGAGAAATGAAGAAGCCACAAGTGTCTGTGTGGGATCTGAACGTGGGGTCGGAGTTTTCGGCTGTGACACGGATGGTTGCAGTAGGATGTTGTCTGTGGGGAGCTCCGGGAGGGCATCCTGGAGGAGAGGGTAGCCCGGTGACTCCTGCCGAATAAGGAGGAGGATGGGTGGGGGGTGGGGAAGCATAGCAGCTGCCCCTTGGAAGGCAGAGGGATCCTTGCCTGAAAGCTGGCAAAGCCCAGAAGCACCAAGGGGCAAATGTTACCACCAGAGACTCGACATGTACCCTTCTCAGCCAACCATGGTGTTGCCAGTCATGGTTTGAGGGTCCAGGCGCTGAATACAAAAGCATCTGATCTGTGCCAGAAAGGGTTCCAGAACTCTCATTTAGTGCACTCTTAGATGTGACCACCAGACAGCATATGTATCATTCAGTTCACCTCCTCAGAATAAAGAGCCCAGCTATAATTATATAATTAAATATTATGTAATTAACCTCCTCCTACTCCTCCACCCGCCCACAGGCACCTGTAGGTCACACGTAGATTCTGCAGTGTAGGACTCAGGGGAGAATTCAGGCATAAAAAGGAGAGAAATACGGGCACGGGCTACTACATGGATAAACCTTGAACACATTGTGCTAAATGAAAGGAGGCAGACACAAAAGGCCACATATCGTATGATTCCATTTATATGAAATGTCCAGAACAGGCAAATCTAGAGACAGAAAACAGATCTGTGGCTGCCTAGGGTTGGAGGTGGGGGTGAGGAGTGGGGGGAGGTGAGGAGTGACACCTAAGGGGTATTGGGTCTCTATTTGGGGTGATAAAAAATGTTCCGGAACAAGACTGCACAACTCTGTCACTGTCCCCAAAAGTACTGATTGTACGCTTTAAAGGGGTAAATTTTAGGGCACAGTTTTATTTTGAAAACGCAATTAAGAAAAAATATATGGGAGAGGGGCAGAGAGGGGCGTGATTTCAGTTCTGCCTTCTCAAGACAAAGAGACCAGACCAGGTCTGCAGTGCTTGAAGCATTGGGGTTTACGTGAAGCCCAAATCATCACGAGACCCAGGAGAACAAACACAAAGCTCGTTCAATCCCAAGCTGTCGATGGCCAATTGGGAAAACTTGAAAGGGTGACAGCGTCCCTAACAGGACTTGTAGGCGATTTCCACCATCCACTTTGACTCACTGTTCACCGAGTATCCACATGCACGTACCCGCTGCTGCTGTGCTAAGGTGTCAGGGACATGGCAGTGAACAAGACAGACATGGGCTTATGGGAGAGACAGACACTTAACAAGAGGTTGCACAAATAGTTGCCCAACAACTATTCCAATGTCATAGTTCCAATGACATAGAGTTTACAAAGTGAACAGAATATATTCGGGCATGGAAGCAGGTGGGACCTCCCTGAGGAGTTAGCCTTCGAGCCACATCTGGAAGGTGAGGGGAAGAAGCATCTGGGTGGCGTGGAAGACAGAGCTGCTGAGCATGGGAAAAGGAAGAACCAGAGGTGGGTGAGGGCACCCGGAAAGACAGCCAGCCAGCAGGGAGAAATATCGCTTCCCTGTGTCACCAGCCATAGAGATCTTTCCCGAACCCACCAAACAGGAATTCAGGCTTCTAATGCCAGGTCATCTGGCTTGTGCTGGAGGTGGACACCTTCCAGAATGTTCATGTCTTGAGGTTTTAAAAAGTGTATCTAATACCATTGTTCATTCATTCAGCAAGTATTTATTGAGCATCTGCAAAGTGCCAGGAGCCGGGCATACACAAGGGAACACACAGTACCCTGCCCTCCTAGGGCTCACATTCTAAAGGGGGGAGACAGACACAGTCAACAGGTGAGCAGACAGTCAACAAGTGAACAGAAGGCAACTTCGGGGGAGATGGCCGCATAAGAAGTTCGGGGCTAGGTGGGCTTTACACACAGTGGTGGATGGTCTCCAGCAAGACCCTGGAGGAGAAATCAGCTGCAGGAGGGGGGTTGCAGAAAGACTGGGGGCAGCAGTGAGCAAGCAAAGGGGGGGATGAGAACAGTACAGAGTGGGTTCTAAGAGCTCAGCAGGGGCCTTGCAGGCCATAGAGTGGACTTAATTTAGAATTCGATTTCCTTCTGCAGTGATGGGAAGCTTTTGGAGCAGAGGAATGACACATTTGATTTAGGCTTCAGAAAGGTAAGCTTCTGGTGGGAGGAGGTATGTGGGGGTGGGGGTGGGGGTGGGGGACAAGGATGGAATGGAAGTACTAAGGAGAAGCAAAAAGCATGTACCAGGACAGAAATACCAAGGGTAATGTGACCCAAGTATAACGTGATCCAATTCAGGTTGAGTGACCCCATTCAAAGTCCCAAAGTTACGAGGGCTCACTTTAGAGCCAAGGCTGACCTGGGTTTCAATCTAGGCTTACCAACTGTGTGACCTTGGGCAGATGACTTTGCCTCTGCGCGCCTCAGTCTCCTCGTCTGAACGATGGGGTAACAATAGCGCCTACCTAACAGGGTTGTCGCTGCCATCACGTTTGTGGGGCCCAGCAGAGCGCGGTGGGCGCGGACCAGCTGCTGCGGCTGTGAGTAATTTGTTACTAAGAATAGTTAGCGCCCCTCTCCCGGCCGCCGTCTCCAAGCGGCCACGCGCAACCGCGAGGCTGGACCCCCGGCCCCGACGCCGGCTTGGACGCGGCCCCCCGGCCCCCCATTCGAGCGCCCCATCCAGGCCCCCGCCCCCACCCCCCGCTCACCTGGGCCTCGGCGGCCCGGGGATGTGCTCGTAGCGGCTGCGAGCGCGGTGCACGAAGGTGCAGAAGAGGCCGAAGGCAACCAGGACGGCGCTGCCGAGCAGCAGCAGCAGCCCGGGGCTCATGGCTCCCGGGCAGGCCAGGCCTGGGTCGGGGCCGGGCACCGAGGGGGCGGGAGGCCGCGAGCCGACTCAGCTGTCAGCGCCGCGCCGCCTCGGCCCCAGGCCCGGCGCGACCCAGCACCGCCCACTCCCTCTCGGCTCCGCCCCTGTCGGCTCGACCCCTCCCAGGGCTCTCCGTCCCGGCCAACCACGTCTCCGCCACCCGCTCCAGCTCTCGGCGCCCGCCCCCGCCCCGCCCCTAGCTCCGCCCCAACCCCAACACCGCTCCCCCGCGCTCAGGCCCCGCCCAGAGCATGAGATCTTCTCCAATCACAATGCCGCTTCTGGCTCAGTCCCCCCACGCCCCGCCCTCTCCTCCCCCCCTCCTCCCCAGGCCCCGCCCCCAGCTCCTCAAGCTCTAGCCTAGCAGCAGCTCCGCCCAGAACGCGTTGTCCTTGGCAACCCCGTTTCCTCCGCGCTTCCTGCCCCGGCGGCAGAGCAAGGTCCAGCTGGCTGTTTCCGCCCCCTAGGGCGCCTGTAAATAAACGCGTTCTCTGCGCGCGGTCCTAGGCCCCTTTCCTTCTCCCTGAAACCTCCCTGGGAACCCCATCCCAGACTCCAAACGTCCGTATTGCGCCGACTGTTCCCAAAACCTCTCTCTGGAACCCCCAACCCCCACAAGCTGGCTCCGCCTGCCTGGCGGGTCCACGCCTAGCGTCCCTGGTCTCCTCGCGGGGCCACGGGGCAGGTGGCGAGGACCCCGGGGACACGGGGAAGCTGTGTCAGCGACTGAAGAGCGCACAGCTGGACCAGAGTCTGCTCTCCCTGCGTCTTGACGCCTCCAGGAAAAGCCAAGTCGGAGGCGCTGACCCCAGTCCGAAGGAGCCCGAGTTGGAGTGCGTGAAAGTCTGGGTGCGCAAGGTGGCCCCTCGAGGGAAAGGGAGAAATGTGCCCGCCGTGTGGCCAAAGGGTATTTCTGAAGTAATAACCGAAACTTCCCTCCCGTTTACGTAACCACCTTGTCTTCACCCGTCTGGGTGTCACAAATGCAGCCAGTTTTGCGCTTTTAGGTCTCATTCCTACGCTGGCGGGGGGGGGGGGGGCACCCAGAGTGGGAGCAGGGGATGGGAAGGGCCGGGTGTACACACTCCTGGTCCCGATAAAGCTCCAACGGGCTGGGGAGGAGGCACCCAAAGATGGACGCTGCCGAGTTCCTGAGAACGAGACATTCCCCTGCCTCATTCGTGGGCCAGTCCCGGGAGAGGTGTGGGGGGCTGGAAACAGAAGGTCCGTGTACCTCCTTGCCAGGTGCAGCCAGGGACAGCCCCCACTACGGACAGAATTCTTCGGGGTGTGTGGGCTGCAGGGTGACGAAGAGGGACACAGTTTAAGAGCTGGACCCAGAAGAGACAGGATTTCTGTCCCCAAACCACCGCAGCCTGGGCATCCCTCCTGGCGCAGGGAGCTGGGGAGCCGCACGCGTCTACGGTTAGGGGGTTAGGGCTGGGGCACGTTGGCCTGCTACCGCGCCCCCACGTGGCGGTGAGAAGCAGCCGCTGGCTGGCCCTGCTTGGAGCGGTGGATGGGGGTGGGCAGGTTATACAGCCCCTCCTGGGCTGTGAAAGCACCAGGGGTTGCGGGCAATTTGGAGGGAGGGCTCCCAACAATTGTCTTTTGAGGACAATGCCAGGTCCTAAACTGCCCTAGGCACAGTCTGGGGTCTCACATGAGGCAGGCATAGGGAGAGCCTCAAGGTACATTTGTGAGCCTGTGCAGCTAGAGCTCAGGAGAGGCATGGGCGTTATTACGCTCTGGTGCATCACTCAACACCAGTAACCTCTGACTTAATGTGACTATGGCTCAACTGGCATTTCCGTCAATAGAGCACCCCTGTCCCTGACTCGGGCGAGTCAACAGTGTCCCCTCCCCACGTACCAAGTCCACTGCTGTCCCACTGCCATCTCATCCGATTCTCCCAGCTCTCCTGTGATCAGGCCACCCCAAAGCTCAGGTGGGTCTCAGACAGCACTGGGCAGGCAGCACTACAAGCTGCCAGCAGAGGGCGCTGCCTGGAAGCATGTGGCCAACCACCTGGCCCTTCGTTGGAAGGTTTAGACTGGGCTTTCCAGTATGGTAGCCACGGGCCACATGTGCCAATCCAGCCCGTGAAACATGGCTAGGCCACAGGCATCCGGGTGGCTCAGTCAGTTGAGTATTTGATTCTTGATTTCAGCTCAGGTCATGATCTCACAGCTTGTGGGATCAAGCCCCACGTCCAGCTCTGTGCTGACAGCGTGGAGCCTGCTTGGGATTCTCTTCTTTCTCTCTGCACCCCCCCCCCCCACACACACATACACATGCTCTCTCCTTTCTCTCTCTCAAGGTAAACAATAAACATAAAAAAAAAAAAACATGGCTAGTCCAAGTTAATATGTTCTGTGTGTGTAGACGCTGGGTTGATTGGATATAAAAAATGCTTTAAAAATCTCATTAATATTTTTATATTAACTGTTACATGATCATTTTTGAATATGCTGCATTAAAGAAAATATATTATTAAAATTCACTTCACCGATTTCGTTTTACTTTTTTAACATGGCTACTAGAAAATTTTAAATTATGGTTGCATAGTATTGGACAGCCCTGTAGACAGTGGCTCTCAAAGTATGGCCCCTAAGCCAGCAGCTTCAGCATCAGCCGGGGTCACAATGCAAATGCTCAGCCCCACTGAGATTTACGGAGTCAAGAACTCTGATGGGCCCCCAGCAACCTGGGTTTTAACCAGCCCCACAAGTGTTTCTGCTCAAGTTTGAGAACGCCAGACAGGAAGTGGTTTCCCAGCGGGAATTGTTGAGGGAGATGCAGGTCTGAAGTGGCTGTCCTCTGAACACCGGACGAACGCCCTGGCCTGGCTGGGGCTTTGTGAGAGGGATGCAGGTAAACAAGGAACAAACGAGGCCCCATCAGGGGTGCTCAGCCACACCTGGAATGTCCCTGCAGCATTGGGCTCCAGGGACTCGAGAACTAAGCTGTGTGATACTTGGGCTGTAGCAGCCCCTCTCTGGACCATGTTCTGAGAGAGCACTCTAACTGCCGACCCGATTAGAGGGGGTGATGGCAGAGGCTGATAGGGAACAGAGGGAGCCTTGACCCCTGGGGTCAGTCCTTATCCCAGAGACCAGGAGGACTCCGAGGCACGAGCAAAGTCCCTGGGGACAGAGTCACTTGGGAACACCCCCTCCGCAGCCAGCCATAGGCAGTGGAGTAAAAGGAGCACTGGACAGGGAGTTGGAACCCGGCTCTGCCTCTCTCTGGGCTTGTGTCCCCATCTGCACGATGCCAGGGGCCAAGGGGAGGTGGGGGAGACACTGAATTCAACACTCTTTAGGCAGCAGCGTGACCGCCCCCAGAGCCCTACTGCCTGGTTTCTAATGTTGGCCGTATGACATTCAGCAAGTAACGAAGCCTCACTGGGCCTTGGTTTCCACATCTGTACAATGGAAGGTGACCATAACACCCGCCTCGTAAAGTTAACATGAGGATCGAATGACTGAATATTAAGTTAAACTTTTAAACGGTGCCTGGTACATAGTAGGTGCTCAGCAGACGTCAGCCACCCACCCGTATTACTACTTAAGGAGCGGTGTGCCTGTGTCAACCTCCTTGCTGGGAGTCAGGCTGAAGCCTAAGCCTTGTTTGGAGCCTGAGGGGGTCCCAAGGTGGGGGACTGGAGGGGGGCAGCACCCCATCCAGAGGCGCGGAAGGGCCTGGGGCTGCGCCCAGTTGTCCCACAAACAACAGTGACACTCGGGGCCCCGCTGAGGGCTGGACCGCTCCACCACTTGCGGAAGGTACCAGGAGCCCCAGATGGTGGCACCAGGCTGCCACTGCTGAGGTACAATGGGAGATGCCCCCCGTCACCTGCACCCCACTTCCCAGGCCACACCTGGTGGCATCCTGGCCTTCAGGCCTTGGAATGAAAAGGGGGCTCGACAGGGTGGGGAGGGGCAGAGTGTGGAGGAGCCCCAGGAAGAGGCTGCTTCGAGCCACCCGCCCCCAATTCCAGGCTTGGGGAAAAACAGCTCCGGTTGCCCAGCTGGGGAGGGCCATGGGGCTACCCTGCTCTGAGGGCCCCCCAGCTTCCCTGGGCTCTAGTCTCAGCTCAGCCCCATCTGAGACAGGCCTAAGACACTCAGCCCCCCAGGCATGTTCGGCCTGAATAGTCCCCATGGGCCCTCCCAGCTCCTAGCACTGTTCGGAATGTCCCCACGACGGGGGAAGATGCCCGTCAGCCACCGCTGGGCAGTGGGAGGAGACTGACGGCCCACCGCGGGCAGGAACACCCCTGGGCCAAGCTGCATCGCCCTCTGGCCTGGCAGCACTGGAGCCAGAGGGTGCAACGGTTAGGGTACCAGCAGGTGCGAGAGCTAGGCTGCGTGTGCTCTCATCTGGCTTCTCCCCTCCCTGGCTGTGCGCCTCAGTTTCTCCACCCGTGAAATGATGAGGAGAAGAGTGCCGTTCAAAGGCTCAACTGAGTTCACACATACTGTGCCATCCGGACAATGGTGCCCAGCACACGGGCCACACTCAACGGCAGGGGCTATGGTTTCCAGGCAGGGCTCAACAGGGCCAGGCAAGCGGCCAGGGCCCAGGGCCCTTGCCAACCCCACTCAAGGCAGAGGTATGAGGAGTCCCGGAGGTGACCCTGAGCTTTCGTATGCTGTCCCGGATTCCACACTCAGTGTCAGGGAGCAGCCAGGAGGCGCGCCCCAGCCTTGCCTGTACCTTTTCCTCTGCTGGGCACAACCACCCCTGGTGCCAGCTCGACTCTCAAGATAATGGATGGACAGGTTGGGCTGGGATGACCCACCCAGAGCCCCAACAGGCCCTGACATGGGCTCTATCCTGTCCTCACTGCCCAGTGACCATCTGCTTGCTCTCTCTGCGCCCCCACCCCCCAACAGAGGCTATGCCCAACTATACTTGACAAGCCTTGATAGACCTGCATGGAGCGGCTGGGGGGGGAGGGGCTTAATGGGCAAAGGAACTTCCACCAGCCCCCCTCCTCCGTCCCCACCTCCAGATCCCAGGCAGCATGGATCAGAGAGAAGAGGCAGGAAGGGGGTTGTAAACAGTGACGTTGTTGGCACAGCTTTGGGTGACAGAGCATCAGTAGTCTTTCTGGACTCCTGGGGGAAACCGCTGGAGGAATCGGGGGTCCCTGGGATTTCACTGAGCCGTGTGGGGATGGAGATGACCGAAGTGGCTCCAGCGCCCCCGATACAGCCTTTAAAGTGGAGAATCCTGATGCCTCACTCACTCGCTGGGGGCCGTGGTGCTTGGAGTGGCCAGATGGGTGGCTTCTGTCCCAGTGAGTACTGGAGAGTCAGGTCTCAGGGCCAGGAGACCCAGCACTGTCCCCAGAGCACCCACATAGACCCAGCATGACAATGAAGCCCACGATGACCAGAAGGCTTCTCCCAGAGGTCATCCGGTACCCCCTCCCCAGGCGCTCACCTCCCCCTAGGCAGCCTGACCCTCACTCAGATGCCATGGCCCAGGGTCAGCCCAGACCCATCGGTCTAATACCTTCCCTTGGCCCCACTGCCTTCCTGTTCTCTTCGGCACCTCTGACTGCTGGGCGATGGGTTCTCAGGCCATGCTCCAGATGGTCCGGGGCCTTCCACTCCAGCCCTGGGCAGGACGGGCCTGGTCCCCTCCCTCGGTCTGCTAGCTGTGCCTCTGTTAACTCGGCCAAGGGCCATGTCTGCTCTTGAAGAGTAGTAGCCCTCAGTGCTCAGGGTCCAGGGCCCGACTGTGTTCCTGCACAGGCCTGAGATGTCTGGGAGTAAGGAAAGAACACCTGGGGCCCATGAGCACACAGACCCCAACACGCCGTGGCTTCTGGTCTGCAGAAGACACACGGGCAGGGACACAGAGTGCACACGAGCCCCGCACACACCTCACACGGGGCCGCAGGACGGAGTTACAGATGGGCCCCCTCCGCCTCCAGACTCGGGCGCGCACCCGGCGCGCTCAGGGCGCAGGAGCCCTGCCGGGCCCCGGCGGGAAGGAGGTGGCCTGGCCGGCCGGCAGGTGCTCGCCTACAGGTCAGGGTCCTCGTGGCTGCACACGACGCCCGCGTCCTCCTGGTGCCCGCAGTTGTGCGTGCCCACGGCGGCGTGCGTGCACTCCAGCAGGTTGCGCTCGCCGCCCGCGCAGCGCACGTCGTCCAGGAGGATGGGCAGCCCGTGGCCCTCGCCGAACTCCGCGCGCTTGGTGGCCCGCACGGCGTGCGCAAAGCCCAGCTGGCGGCACACGACGGCGGCGGCCTTGGTGTCCCAGGCGTCGTCGCACACGGTGCCCCAGCGGCCACCCGCGAACACCTCCACGCGCCCGCGGCCGGGACTCAGGCCCGCGGGCCGCACCAGGCGCACGGCGCCGTTCGAGGGCGCGGGGTCAGCCATGCCCGGTCGCCCCCGCCGCCGCCCGCCGCCCCTCCGGCCCCCCGGCCGCCGAGTGGGCCGGGCGGGCCGCGGGGTGGGCGCGGGCCGAGCGGTCGTGGGGCGGCTGCGGCGGGGCGCCTTGGTGGGTGCACGCGCTGTGGGCCGTGGGGTGCTCTCCTCCCTCCGGATGAACTCTGCGCAGAGGAAGAGCGTGCGGTCAGAGGGACTCCGGCCGCCCACACCACCCCTGCTCTCCACCCAGGAATGCAGACCGCCCCCCTCCACCCCTCACAAGGGGAAAATGTTTTCATTCTGCCCTCGGCTCTGACCCTGAGGATGGGGTACCTCTTGGAGGTGCCAGCCTGGAGCTGGGTGTGAGGTGCTTCTTCATTCTGTGCACACTAGCTGGCAGCTGGCTTACGCCAGTCTGCTACTGGGGTCTCCCCGCCTTGCCCTAGTCTTGGCCTTCTGGGAGTCTCTAGTCTGGGAGCAGGGATGTGGGACAGACCCTCACGCTGTTAACTCATGAGCCCCGTGGAGGGGAAGGAATTGTCTGGGAGGGCTTCTCGGGCAAGTGACTCTTTCTGGTTCCAATCTCCTGCGTAGGGGTGAGGACGCTGACGCCCACCGATGAGAAGAAAGTGAGGATCTATCTCATCTAAGGCGGACGGGCAGGACGGGAACTGGAGGGCGCAGGGCCTCCAACGTGAAGTTCTCTCCTCCAGGCTGCTGGCTGGGGGCTGGGGCCCGCAATGACCAGAGCTGGGGTCGGGGGCAGGGTACCCTGGCCATCTACCCCAACACGGGGCCTGGATACAGTAGGCGTGGGGAGCTGAGGCGGGCGACTCCCTGCGTCCCTGCAGCACGTGGCCCTCACACTTGGCCCTGGTCAGCCACAGAGATAAACCTCACCCTCCATGAGACGCTGCCAGGAGACGGCACTCCCAGACGATGCCATTACTATGGGGAGGGATCCCAGGGCCACCAGTCCAGACCCTAAACCTCCCCACCTCAGCTGAGATGAAGGCTGAGAAAGGGTCTTAATTCGAGGCCACGTGCAGGTCAGGGCCAGGAGCCCAGCGACGTGGGCCAGACGCTCCCCTCCCTGCACACTGGCCCCCAGGCCACCCACAGGGAAGGACTTCCTGCCCCCAGGCTGCCTCGCTTCTGCTTTGGCTCTTGCCAGTCCCCGCTGCCTAGACTGCGCCCCCACCCCACCTCCAGCGGACCTTCCTCTTCATTCCAGGCCCCAACCCTCAGCCTCCAGGAACCCCCCCACCCCCACCCCAGTCTTGCACTGCTCTGGGTCCCCATGGCAGCTGGCACACACTTCTGTAAAGGCCCTGGGGCCATAAGTGACTTCTCTGTCGGTCTCAGCCAGGACAGGGCCCGGTCTGCCTTCTCCTGTGGCCCCAGCATCCAGCATCGAATGGGTAACTATAGAAAGTGCCAGAAACTGCTGAATGAATGGAAAACCCGCCAAGGCCTGGAACCAGCTGCCGCTAAAATGAACGTCCCAAAACACTGAGCTCATTCCTTCCCCCAACTTTCCTCTCCTGGGGGCACTGCCTCCTCAGGGCTGGCCACCCCCAACTGCCAGGTGTCGAGCACGCCCCCTCTTCCTGCCCCCCTATCCCTCAGCCCACCCACTGGTGATCTATCTGTTGGGCACACTTGGCCCACTGAAGTATTTCCTTTGGCCTGCAGGGCGATTTTTTAAATTTCGAACCAGAGTTGCTCGAATTTGCAAATGGGGAGATCGTATATAACCACCCGAGCAGGCAGGGACCGTGTCTGTCTTGCTCAGCGGTATGTCCCCAGCATGAAGCACGTGTATGTGGTAAGCAAATGGAGGGATGGATGGATGGATGGATGGAGGGATGGATGGGTGCATTTTTCCTGCTTCTCTTAAGAATGGATGGTCTGGCAGCACTGGTCTGTGTTCCCACCTAGCTGGGGCCCCGGGGATAAGACCCCTCTTCAGGCATACCCTTTCAGTTGGCCCCAGACGCCAGGGACCATCATCCGTGGCCTTGGCTGGCCCTCAGGTCATGGGTTTGCACCCACCTCCCTCTCCACCGAGCTGGTCACAACGGAACCATCCTATGGCGGCCCCAGGCAAATGCCCCCTCTCCTGGGGCTCTTGCACCTGAAATGACTCATTCCAGTCTTGCTCCCCTACAGATCGAACCACTGTCTCTGCCCCCAAGAGCTCTGAGTGCACCTGGCCTGGCGCCCGCCGTCTCTCCCTGTTCCTTGCCCCCTTGAGGCCACTTACCCGTGACCTGGGTTTAAAGAGCTCCGCCAACTTTAACTGAGTGTCTGATGTGCGCCACTCCCAGTGCTAGGCACAGGGGCCCAGGAAGGGCATCCAGGGCCAGCTGGAAGGACCCTCCACCCAGCCGCTACGGGCTACAGGAGCTTCCCTCCCTCGCCGTGTGGGCACTTACTTTCTCTGGGCACGAAACGGATGAGGCGGCTCCTCACCTTCACCCGGGAAGGCTGGATGTGGCACGTGCCGGGTGGTGCCCGTCTGCGGACACACAGGAGGTCATGAGCGCCCCCCCCCCCGCCCGGGGAGCCCGCCCCGAGCATGTCCCTCTGCCACCCGCTCTCCCCCTGCAGCCAGGCAGGTTGTGCAGCCAGGCCCAGGCAGGTGTGGACAGTATCAATGGGGGCCATCTGTGGAGGCACCTGCGGTGTGGCCCGTGGCAGCCTGCGTGCCCCAGGCTCTAGGAGCCCAACCCCAGGACAGAGATCCTGCCAAGGGCCCGCTCGGCCTCTGCTCCGAGAGCACGGGGGCGGGCGGCTCAGGCTTTCCTGGGCCACTTGGGATTCAGAGCATGAACTGTCCTTGGGAATGTGATCAGCCCACTTCTGTAACCGCCCGATTCCTGAGCCCCACCGGAGCCCCCACGCTGCACAGCCTTTGAGGAGGGTCTCTCTCTGCCCCTCTGGCTCCTGGGTTTTGGTGATGCGGCATGTGAGGGCAAGATAAGGTCGGTCTAGAGATAAAGGGCCAGGGAGAGCCTCAGGGCTGGCACCAGAGGCTGAGGGATCCGGGGCCCTGGAGGGTGGGGTTTGAGAGGACTGGGAGAAAAAAAAAGAGTCTGAGAAGGGTTGCCAGGGCTATGAATTGGGCCTCTTTTGACATCCCCGAGGGGCACAAGGAAGGAATGGGATTCCATTTTAATTAGCTTTTGGCTGTCGATCTGTGAGTCTCTGAATGGGACCGGCCCTATTCTGGGACTGGCCCACGTGAGCCCAGACTTCAATAGGGTCCCGGCAGCACAAGGGGAAAGCCCGAGGGGTGAATGGCCATGTGACACGAGGTGACTTCCAGACCGGCTTGGCCGAAGAGGGAAACTGAGGAGGGATATGGGCCTTCCCGCACCCGGAGACCGAAGACACACGGCCAGGCACACTCGCTTCTCAAAGCTGTGGACCGGGTGGGTTTCCTGTTGCCCTGAACCCCAGGTGGTACCCACACACTTCAGACAGGCCCAGCACGGTTTTGTTCCTTAAGGAAATCATGTAAAAACAAAAACGAAAACAAAAACTCTGTTCTGCTAAAGGTGGGAAATACCCCCCCCCCCCACCGCGCCCACCCCCAATGCCACAGTCGTTGTGTCGGGGCAGTGCTGGATGCCCCCGCCCCACCCGCCCACTCCTGATTTCTTCATTCCCCGTGTTCTGCAAGGGAGCCTCTAGGCAGTACGTTGTGGGTGCAGAGAAAGACATGCATTCTAACAGAGACACACAAAAGGGACGAGGGAGAGGGCGGGAAGGGAAGGAGTCTAGCCCGTTTCTGGCTCCCCCACTCCAGGAGATCTAGAACAAGAGACCTCCCTAAGCCTCGGGTTCCCTCCGTCACCAGGAAAGGGCGCTGCTGCGTGGCAAAAGGAGATGACGGGTCTGAGGCAGCCTCTGGTATGAATTACATGCTCCATATATGCGATATTTCCTTAGAGAAGCACTCTTTAAAAAAAGGAGGGGGGGGGAATAACCTAAATGGCCAAGGAATGGGTAAGATAATTATGGCGCAGTGACTCAACAGCAAATTACACAGCCATTAAAAACGATCCTTTGGAGAGTGCTGTTACACGGTGGAGATGCGTCTACAAAGCGGGGAAAACGAACAAAGAGAAATGCAAAGTTTGCGTGTGCTCCTTTGCGTTGACCTGAGTCCTGGAACTAGCAGATAAAGCCCGAGGAGACCTGGGGCAAATGGAAAGGAGAGAAGAAAGGAGGGAGTATTTCTGTGTTTCCTAATAATGATATCAAGAAGGAATAGATTTGTGTTAAAAAAAAAAAAAAAAAAAAAAGTGTGGTCAACAAGGAATGTCTGGGAGGCTGTCACAGGCCAGAGGAAGCTAAGGAGACAGGATGGCTGAGCGTACAATGGCATTCTGGACAGGATCCTGGAGCAGAAAAAGGACAGCAGGGGAAATCCAGAGAAACCCTTTAATTAATAGCCATGTGCCGATATCGGTTCATGCACTGCGACCCTGATGATGCAAGATGTTTACGACAGAGGACATCAGGCGAGGGGTGTGTGGGAAATTCTGAACTATCTTTGCAATTTGTCTGCAAATCTAAGCCTACTCTAATTTTTTTTAATTATTATTTTTTTTAATTTTTTAAATTTTTTTTTCCCAACATTTATTTATTTTTGGGACAGAGAGAGACAGAGCATGAACGGGGGAGGGGCAGAGAGAGAGGGAGACACAGAATCGGCAACAGGCTCCAGGCTCTGAGCCATCAGCACAGAGCCCGACGCGGGGCTCGAACTCACGGACCGCGAGATCGTGACCTGGCTGAAGTCGGACGCTTAACCGACTGCGCCACCCAGGCGCCCCTTAATTATTTTTTTTAAAGTGCGATGATGTTTTTCAGGATTTTTCCAAAACCAGCGTGTTTCAAAGGTCAGGGTGACTGTCTGTGCCAGGGTCTGCCACACGTGACCGGATGCTTCGAGAGCACCTGAGGCTGTGTGCTGGGGGGTGAGCACCAGCCGGGCACACGGCGGGGGCAGCTGGCCCAGGGGCAGAATGGAGGCCGACTGAGAAGCAAAACTCTAAGGGCGGAGAAGGGGCTGAAGAAAGATCACCATCATTCATCAGGCGTGCCTGAGTCTCCGCTCTATGCTGCAGGCCAGGCCCAGGGCCAGCGCCGACTTTGAAATAGTGAAGACGACAGTCTTAGCCCTGGAGACTCCAGGGCCGGGAGAGAGTACAGATTAGGGGTCTGAGTGGCGAGAGCCTAGGGGAGCCCCGGACCAAGCCTGGAGGGAAAGGATCCTTGGAGGCAGTGAGGCCTGAGGCGAAGGGTGGGGCTGTGCAGCGGAGGGGTCAGGGCAGGGCTCCAGAGCCAGCTGCCTCGTCCCAACCCCAGCTCCGGCTCTGGCTGGACCCGGGGCACTCGACTTTACGTGATTTCTATCCCTGCAAACTAAGCAGCTGAGAAGTCAGTGAGCTTCACGGGGAAGGAGTCAGAACACCACCCGGCACCAAATCAGTGGCTTTCCGGGCAGAAGCAAAACAGAGACGGGCAGGGGGAGGGTCAGGGAGGTGTTCTGAAAGCTCCAGCAGGTTCCACACAGTAGCCAGTGGCTTGGTTTCCCCAAGGGAAGGTGGGAGGGCAGCCTTGCGGTGGGGACAGGCGGGCATCAGGGTATCTCAGAGGGAAGTCGGGGGCTGGGGGCCTGTCGGGTGGCGCGGGGGTGGGCTGGCCGAGGAGTGAGGGGCATGTCAGAGAGGAGAAAGTCCAGGGTTGGGGCATGAGCAGAGCTGGATTCGAGGTGGCATATCCAGTTTTGAGTCCTGGGTCTGCCCCTCACCAGCACTGTGGGCTTGGCCAGTCACTTCCCTTCTCTGGGTCTCAGTGTTCCCTTCTGAAAAATGGGGCTATGAGTGATACCCACCCCCCCCCCCAGGGGGTGGCAGAGAGGAAAAGAAGGCAATGGAGGCGAGGACCCCTGGCAGACAGCAGGAGCCCAGGCAGTGCCGTGGGCGGGGCTCACCTGGAAGGGTCGATCACTTTGTAGACAACCCCACGGGCCGCTGCGGCGCTCGGCACGCCCGTTGACATGAAGTACAGCTCCCCTTGGGCGAGAAACCAGGCAAGGAGTGAGAACACGGCCTGGGATACGGTCCCGACCGGCCCCACCCCCGCCCCCCAGCTCCTCTCAGGCTCTGACACGGACCCCAACCCCAGAGAGCCGTGCCAGGGGCCTTCCAGGTCTGCAGGAAGCAGAGGCTGGGAAAGAGAGCAGTCTACAGCAGTCTCCGGGGCTGCGGGCGGCTCTGCCGGGACCGACCCACCGTCTTGCCTCCTCCCTGGGGACCCAGCCCCACCCTGGTCCCCGCCTGGCTTCGTGCACAGCACCACACACCTCTGGGCACAGGGAGGGGCCACAGCCCAGCTCCCCAGCCAACTGCTTACTGCTTACTGTTGGCACATGTGGCCCTTTGAGCCCCGGCTTCCTTATCCCCAACATGGGATATAGGGGATCCTAGGGCTATAATAAGGATTCAAAGAGCACCGACTAAATGCTCAATCGATATTAGCTATTGTCACTGTTGCTATTATTGTCATCCTCAGGATCCGGGTCCTGCCAAGTCCTGGAGACTAGAGTCTCTCTCCACTGACCAGCAGGCATCTCCCAGGCAGGTGGCAGGGGCAGAAGAGTCCACGCTTGAAGCGGGGGGCGGGGCTCCTGCGCTGAGCCCCATGTGCGCGCCTATAGCTCAGGGACAGCCCCACTTGGAGCCTCAGTTTCCTCGACCTCTCGGGGCCCCTGAGAGTTATGAGCACCTGGATACTCTGAGCAAATGTGAGTTCTTTCTCTCCTCACCCTCATCCCGCCCCCTGGTTCTTGCTGCCAGAGGCACCAATGCCCAGGAAATAGGCTTCATCGTTCCCACCTTACAGATGAGAAAAGGAGAGGCTCAGAGAGGTTAAGCGACTTGTCCAAAGTCACACAGCTGGTGAGTGGTTAAGCCAGGCCTGGAACTCAGGAATGTCTGCTGCCCCCAAGTCCTCCTTCATCACTGTAGGACACATGGGGGCTGGGAGGCCCAGACACAGCCCATGTTGTGATTCAGTGTGACAGTTCGGCCATGCTAATACTTCTGTCATTGGAAGAGTACAGTGAAGAGTTCTCCCAAGGATGGGGGTGGTCCCCAAGGAACCACTAAGTTGGACAGAGAGGTGAGAACTCAGAGGAAGGCATATTTGTGGGGACAGATGCAGTCAAGGAAGGCTGCATGGGGGTGGGGTCTGAGAATCAAGGCCCAAGAAACCCAGGGAATTCCACAAAGGGGAAGACGCTTGCAGTGGGGGGGCGGGGGGGGCAACTTGTGTAACTGGGGTAGACCCAGCTGTGGTGGGGAGCCTGGGGCTGGGGAGGGCAGGATGCTGAGTGCTCAATGGCCTCTGACACCCCGCCCCCAGGAGCACCAGCCCTGCTTTGGTGGGACTGGGGTGGTAAATAGGTCCCCAAGGTGATGATGCAACCGTACCCCAGGAGGACAGCCCCTGCTGGAGAGAACCCATGTCATAGGCATGGCTTTGCTGTGCAGCCTTGGGCTGTGACTTCCCTCTCTGGGCCTCTTTCTGACGAGTGGCCCCTGGGAGCCCCCGTCTCCTCCCTGGCTGTGCAGCCCTCACACCTACACTCCAGGCCCTGGGAGTGACGCGGGTCTCCCCGCACATGCCGCTGCCTCCTTCTGGAATGCTCTTTTCCAAGGTCAGTCTTCCTCTGGCTGACCAAGCTTGAGCTCAAGGCCCTGGGAGGCCTCTGGGGGCCAGGCTGGGTACAGTCCCCCCACCCCCACCTCTGTAAGGTGATGGGCTTGGACCAGGCGCACTCCTTGGCCTGTCAGCCTGGTCTGCTGGGAGCCACAGCCCCCACCGGCGCCCTTGCTGTGTGGACTGTCCCGGAGAACCCCAGGCCAGCAGAGGTCCTTGTGGCAATTTGCAAATGTCAGGAGAACAACTGGAGAGGTAGGAGCCTGAGCCCGGGGCTGGGGGAGGACTGTCTGTGTTGGACCCCAGGGCTCTGTGCCTTCCAGGGGTCGCCCTCCTGAGCTCACCAGTGTGCTGCCCCCGGGCCGTGTGGTTTAGAGGAGCCTCCTCCTGGCTCTCCATTACTTGGTGTCACTCAGAGGTGAACAAGGGCCCCTTGGGAACCGCACCTTCCAAGTCCTGCTCCCGGTGGGGGGGGGGGGGGGGAGGGCGCCCCCCCCTTCCAAAAACCTTTACCCCCCACTGGCCCAAAAAAAAGGCTTTCAAGGTCCAGTGGGTTTGGGAGGGCGGTGGGGGGCTGGGGCTGCCCTTTTGAAAATTTAGACTGTGCCGGGTGTCATCCAACAAAGGTTTCCCAGACTTAGGCCTGGGGGCTCTGGGCCCTGGGCCCTGCAGGGGATACCCCTCCAAAGGTCCCTGGGTGGGCGTTGCCTAGCAACCCTGCCAAGCATCCCCCAGGCCCCACTGGGGGCCCCTCGGCTTTTGTGCAGGGACAATCGGGGCCAAGGACAAAGGCAGGAGGCTGGAGCAGGATCCAGCCTCCATGGCCCCTCATCCTCTCCCCTCCCTCCCTGTTCCTTGCATTGAAACTGCAAGAGCCTGAATGGGAACCCACTAACAAGAGTGTCCACAAAGGGTGTTCAAGAGGGCGGTGTCCACCCACCTTCTGAAGACTGTGTGGCTTAATTTTACAGTCCAGATTTCTTGGGTCTTCACGAACCCAGGGTGGTAGAGGTCTGGAACACAGTCCCCCCCCCCCTCCCGCCAGCCTGCATTTCCACCATCATAAACCCTTTCCCGGTCTGCTCGCTCCACATCATTATTTGCAGCCTAGAAGCGGCCTTGCAGGGAGAAGCGGGGTCAGGGACACTGTTCCCATCTTCCGGATGGGGAGAAAGAAGCTTGGGCTGGTGGGGACCGATGTCCCGGCAAGGTCTCAGGCCACTGCACACTCGCTCCCCAGCCTGAAGGGGATTTCAGGCCCGAGACCCCGTCCCTGGAATCCCGGGCCCAGAGGACCCACGGGGTGGGGGTGAAGGGGGATCAGTCCGGGGCCTGTGGCCTGGACAGAGAGGCCTCAGGGCCTCAGGAGCGCTCACCAGCTTCATCCTCTGCAAAGGAGATGATATGAGGGTGGTAGTTGTTAATGAGGCCTGGGAACGCACAGGTCTGGCCTCGACCCATGCAGATCTCGCTGTAGCGCCACTGGCCCGTCTCCAGGTTCTCTCGGAGGGACATCAGACGCCTGCAAAGAAGGATGAGCTGCGGGGTCCTGGCTGGCGTGCTGCCCCGGGGGAACCCAACCCACAATCCCTCCATCCACTCGTACTATTCACGCAACAGGGACCATACGTCATTTGCGGGATCCGGTGTAAAATCAGCATACAGGACCCCTTGTTCAAAAACTACCAAGTATCTCAATACAGTGAGAGCAGAACTTGACCACTGTGCGGTCAAGTGTGGACCCTTCCCAGCGTGAGGTCTGTGCATCCGCACAGGCTGCACATCCATAAGGCTGGCCCTCCATGCTCCCTGGTGGTCTAGCAGTTAGGATCTCATAAAGCGGGCCCCGCCGCATTCTTCACTGGGCACGTACTATGCACCCGGAAAGGGCGGGGGGAGGAGACAAACCTGTCCCCTGCCCCCCTCAGCTTAGCCCCACCCACTGACCTGCGGTCAAGAGCCTCGGAATCCTCCATGCCTGGTGGCCGGAAGTTTGTACATACTCTGGAGCTGCCTCCACCTTGGAGATGCTTGGGCATCTTCAGAATATGCTGATCTTGCCCCTTACTCCCTTCTCCCTCCCGTCCATCACCAGGCCCTGCTTGGACATGCCCTCCTCCGGGAAGCCCTCCTGACTGCCCCTGCGCCGGGCTCCCCCAGCACTGCACACAGGCTGTCTGAGGCTGCACTCGAGTGGACCGGCGTGGGCCTGTCTCCCTGACTGGGGCGCAAGGGAATTTCAGCCCCGTTGCCCTCCCCCTGATTCAGCAGAAGGGCTTGGGAAAGGCTGGCGAAATTAGTGGAAGGTGTGTGGTCACACACACATTCGAAGAGACTTGGACACTCTTGGGGGACAGCAGACGGGAGAAAGGAGACTCAGACAGAGAAACAGAGGCTTCATGGGAAACCTGAGTGGCAGAAGCGGATCCTAAGGAAGGGGCGGAGCTTGGAGAGGATCCAGCATCCAAAGGCCCAGGTCAGGGTCGGTGCGGGGGCTGACACAAACCAACCCCGGGTCAGCAGCCTGCAAGAGGTGACAACTCTCTGGCCAGCCTCAGGCTTCCTTATTTCTTTATTTCTACTCCTGGGGAACCCTGTTTAGCTGCCCTCAGGTGGAGAGGCCAGGGTGGGAAGAAGTAAGAGCCACCGAATACTGAGCGGATACTAGATTCTAAGTGCTGCGTGCGTATTAACTGATTCGGTCCCCAAACCCTAGGAAGCAACTACTATTCTCATCTCCATTTTACAGATGAGGAAACTGAAGCACAGAGAGGTGAAGTCACTGGCTTAAGGTCACACAGCTAATAGGCAGGCGGGCCAGGATCAGACCCAAGCCACCTCAGCTACACTTTTTTTTTTTAAGATTTTATTCTTGGGGTGCCTGGGTGGCTCAGTCAATACAGTGTCCAACTCTTGATTTTGGCTCAGGTCAGTCACGATCCCAGGGTTGTGGGATCGAGCCCTGTGTCAGGCTCGGCACTGAGTGTGGAGCCTGCCCAGGATTCTCCCTCTCCCTCTGTCTCTCCCTCTGCCCCACCCCAACTCGTGCATGCACGCACTCTCTCTCTCTCTCTCTCTCTCTCTGTCTGAAAAATAAATAAAGGGCTCCTGGGTGGCTCAGTCGGTTAAGTGTCCGACTTCGGCTCAGGTCATGATCTGGCCATTGGTGAGTTCAAGGCCACGTCGGGCTCTGGGCTGACAGCTTGGAGCCTAGAGCCTGCTTTGGATTCTGTGTGTGTGTGTGTGTGTGTGTGTGTGTGTGTGTGTGTGTGTGTGTCTCTCTCTCTCTCTACCACTCCCCTGCTCACGCTCTGTCTCTCTCTCTCTCTCAAATAAATAAACATTAAAAAAAATTAAAATAAATAAATTTTCATTGAAAAAAAGATGTTATTTTTAAGTAATCTCTACTTTAAAAAAAAGCTTTGCTTGGGGTGGCGCCCGGCTGTCTCAGTCTGTAGAGTATGCCACTCTTGATCTTGGGGTCGTGAGTTTGAGCCCCACGTTGGGGGTAGAGATTACTTAAAAATAAGATAAAATTAAAGGAACGAATTATTTTAAAAAATTTTTTTACTTATTTAGTTAAATGTTTAAGGTTATTTATTTTGAGAGAGGGAGAGTGCATGCATGAGTTGGGGAGGGGCAGAGAGAGAGAGAGAGAGAGAGAGAGAGAGAGAGAATCCCAAGCAGGCTCTGCGCTGTCAGCGTGGAGCCCGACTTGGGGCTCAAACTCACAACCTGAGTCGAAACCAAGAGCTGAACACTTAACCGACTGAGCCACCCAGGCGCCCCCGTTTATTTTTGAAAGCAACCTCTACACCCGATGTGGGGCTCAAACTCACGCCCCCAAGATCAAGAGCTTCCTGTCCCTCCAACTGAGCCAGGCATCCCCCTCGCCAGCAGCACTTTCAAGCTTTGTGCCAGGTGTATGTCTTGCTTGAGGCCCTGTGGTCCTCAGTTTCCTCCTCTGGACAATGGGAGGATGAGGCGGTCACGGGCTCTCCTTGGCAAAGAGTCTGACCCACAGCAGGCTTAGGAGGTATGCTCACTTTTCTCGCTCCAAAATCTGATATATCCCAACCCTCACCCCATGCTCACGCGCGCACACACACACACACACACACACACGCACGCACCCTTTAGGGTCTTAGAGAGTGAGATGCCACTGGCATAGAGCATGAGGACTGGAGCAACAAGACTCCAGGGGCCCCGTGGTCAGACCCTGGCTGGAGCCCCGTCCTCCCCATTTCAGCAGAATGACCTCTCTGGCCTCTTCTGGGCCAATGCCCCCTGGAGCCCCGGTCAGTTAGTGCAGCAACGGGTCCTGGTTTCCTCAGAAGCCAGGTGGCCCAGAGTGTGTGCGGAAGTTGTTCATGCCCTCCCCCTTCCACCTCTGCCCCTCAGGAGTGCTGTCAGGCCTGGAGCCCGGGAATCTCAGGTGGGAGGGGAAGACCGATGGGTCTGCACTAAACAGGCATCCTGTCTTTAGTGGCGAGCTGTGCCCTCACGGTGGTGCCTGAGGCAGCCAGCAAAGCTCAGGAAGAAACCAGGAGAAAAGGGGGCGGGTTAGGGTGTCTCCTGAGCTGTAACTCCAGACTTCCTCCCAGAGGAAGAGACCTGCTTGCCTGGCCCTTGAAGGTCCCCGTCAGACAGCAGCTGTAGGGAGCACGCACCTGCACGTACTCACATGCCCCGGCCACTGTACCCTCGGCCTTTTACACAAACGCGGGGGCAGCGGCCGGAGACACTCACGGCAGTGGGGCTGCTCGGGCACAGGAGCCCATGGGCCACTTACCCACTCATAAAATCGCCGAAAATGTAGAGGCCGTTCAGGTTGGGGTACTCACAGCCCCGGTACACGTAGCCTCCGGTGACCGATTTGCCCAGTTTGTGCGGGTAGGCGAATATCGGCAGGACATCATCTGCAGGGGGGGCGGAAGCTGGGGGTGAGCATGTGGGTTCACTGGAGGCCAGCCCCCTCCCCCCCCCACAATGAAGTTTGGTAGGTGGGCTGAGTCTGGAGGGGCAAGGGGATGGGAGGTCACCAGGAGGGCCAGAGTTGGGGCCCCTTACAGATCCGGGAAAGCAGGGAGTCGAGCATGGGTGTGCGGGAAGGGGACAGGGCGGGAGAGCTAGAAACAGCCCAGGAGCGCTGGCAAGGGAGAAGAAGGGGAGATCCAGGATGGGGCGGGGGAGGGCGCGGCCGGGCAGGGAGAGGGCACTAGCGCACACCCCCTGGGGTGGGGGACCGGATCCAGGACCAGTGTCCCCCGGGGCGCGCGGGGCGGTGTCCACGCGACACGGGGTGGGGGCGGGAGGGGCACAAGGGAGGCGGCGGGCACGACCATGGCGGGGGCTGGGGGTGCAGATCCGGGGAGATGGGCCCCGGGGGAGGGGGGGCGCGGAGAGGGTCCGGGACGGCGGTCACCGAGGGAGGCGTTGGCGCACAGCTTGCGGTCGTAGCACTCGTAACCTTCGCGGGCGCGCCAGCCGTAGTTGCGGCCGCGCTCCACCAGGTCCACCTCCTCGAACTTGTTCTGGCCCACGTCTCCGCAGAAGAGGCGCCCGCGGCCCGCGCCGGTGGCCGGGTCGCCGCGGTCGAACGAGCAGCGCCACATGTTGCGCACGCCCAGCGCGTAGACCTCGGGCCGCGCGGCGGGGTCGTCCACGAACGGGTTGTCGCGCGGGATGCGGTAGAGCGGGCCGCGCTCGTTGCGGTCCACGTCGATGCGCAGCACCTTGCCCAGCAGCGCCGACCTGCGGGCCGGGCGGGAGGAGGCGCGCGGCTCGGGGTCGCCCGGCGCCGGGGCTCTCGGGCGCCCCCGGCGGCGGGTGCTGGGGCCAGGTCAAGGCCAGCCCAGAACGTGGCCGGGGGGAGGCCCAGGGCCCTGGTTCAAGCCCTCCTTAGCTGCTTACCAGCTGGGTAACCTCGCTCACTCCTCCGGCATTTATTTATCTGGCACCTTCTTACGGGCCAGGCTGCGTGGGAAGCGTCGCATATACATACATACCCTCTAACGCCTCAGCTCAAGGAGAACAGTTCCGTGATGCCCTTTTACAGACGCAGCAGCTGAGCTCAGAAAGGCCACAGAACGTGCCCGCTTGCCACACCGCTAGTAAAGGGAGAGCTGGGATCCAGCCCAGGCAGCGCGGGAGCACAGAAGCCCAAGCTCTTTGCCCCCACACGCTTTCCAACTTTCCCACGCCCGTCTCCTCACTGTAAGGTTAGCGCGCTCCCTTCTTTCCTGCCTCCCTACATGGCTGTGGAGGGGGGCGGGGGGCGTGAAAATACTCCTAAAAAGGACTCGTATTTACAGTTTTCTTTCCACACCCAGCAATCAAAGTCAGGAGCATCACACAAGAGAACAGGTCAGGGCTCAGGGAAGGGGAGAGAAACCTCGGCAGATCTCAGCAGCAAATAGGAGGCTGGTGCTCTTTCTCTCTCTGTCCCACATCCCGGGCCATCACGGGCAGCACCACCGCACGTCAGAGAGCCAGGCAGGCCTGAGGGCCCGTTCAGTTCACCCCCCCCCACTCCACACCCACCACCCCTACCTCAAAGATGAGGTCTTCTTCAACCCCACCCAAAGATGCCCCACCCTTAATCCCCGATTGTGGTCTTTTAGGTTTTGCCCCCAGGAGTCCCCCCTCCACACACTCCAGCCTGCTCAGCACCAAGCCACAGATCACACTCCTGAGCCCACGCACTGTGCAGCCGGCGTCACTACAGAAGGGGGCCAAACTCATCGCTGCAAAATAATGTTTTAAGTTCTGTCCAATTATCCACCAATCCTTAATTTCTATTTTCCCAACTACATCTCTAAACACATCCCAAACATGAGAAAGCTTCAGTGATTCCTACACTGTCACGTATGAGAGCGCAAGTGACAAATCATGAACGTTTAATTACTGTAATCAACATCAGCCTCGCTATTTTTACTTTCTGGGCTAAAGAAGATTTTGTCAGTTTAGCTAAGAGAATGGAGGAGGCTGCCCTAGATATCCTCGTCTACACTGTGTGTGTGTGTGTGCATGTGTGTGTAAGTGGAATAATGGCAGGCCATCCGCTCAACCCAAGAAGTAGATACCTGACAGCAAGACTATGCCTCGGTTTCCAGGCCATATGTGGGTGACCCGTGGGGCAGGGACCCTCCTGCCCAGACAGTCCTGCTCCAGCCAGTTCACACTCCCCATTTGGTCCTGGAAGGACCTCTTTCCTTCCTCTAGTTCAAGCAGGGCTGGGCTGCCTTCCAATGAAAGCCCATCTTCCCAGAGGCTCTCTGATGTCACTTATCAGGCACCTGTGACAAGTGGGTTCTGTGCCTGGTCCTCAAGACACAGGATTGCCTTTATTCCTCATGCCAAGCCTCCCCTGGAGATTATTATTATCCCCTCTAACTGGGGAGTGGAAGCGACTTGACAGGAGTCCCCAGCTGCAGACTGAACTGGGGCCCAAAGCCCTTTCTACTGCCCTGCACTGTGTGGCCGAGGAAGTAACCCCCCTCCTCCAGGAGAGTATGTAAACCAACCCACCAGCCAGCCCAAAGCAGAACGTACTTGTTTTGGGCATTTCCAAATTTGCCAAAGGGGTCTCCGGCCATCCCGCCGTCACCAGTAAAGATGTACAGGTACCCGTCGTCCCCAAATAGCAGCTGGCCCCCGTTGTGGTTGGAGGCTGGTTCTTCGATCTCCAGGATTATCCTAAAAGGAGATAAGCCACCCCCGCCAAACACACATAAAAACAACCTCAGCAAAAACACAAAAGAAGATCACAGCAATAAAATCTCTTCTCTCTTCGATGCCGTTGCCCAGCTGAAAAGACTTTTCATACATTTTACAGCAGGTGACTTTCAGAAGGATCTATCTAGGAGTCTGGGCGAGGATGATTCACCCCATTGTGCTAGTGGGGACCTGGAGGCGCAGAGGGGTTAAGCAAGTGGCCCAAGGTCACACAGCCCATAGGGAGCCGAGCTGGGACTAGGACTCAGGCCTCCTCACCGCTCCCCACCGCTAGCCCCCCAGTTATGATTATGCAACCCTGGCGACCCAGTCACCGGCACAACTGGTTTCTTCTACACGCCCCCTTCATTTGCTATGTACCATAACTTCCAAGAGGTGGGTTGCTGATGTGAGCTGTGCTCAACTACAAACTCACCCCTCGGCAACTTCTTTTACTGCCATGGCAGAAAACTCTCCACTAGGTGGCCAGCCAGCTGGCTTCTGGTTGGGGTTTGCCAATGGAGAGTGGAAACCAAGAGGCACGGGGAAGCCACGCTTCCCTGCTCGTGAGTGCGGACTCTTGGGTGTCCACCCAGACATCTTGGTACCAGGCAGCAAACTTAGCAAAGCCAAGAACTTTTCCCTTCTGTTCCTCTGGTGTCTTGTAGCTACTAATCCTCACCCTTTTCCTCCTCCGGATCCTCCCTTGTAGCCAAGGCCCTGTTTGCTTAGGTTTTCCGGGACAGGTCACTGACTTCGTGACCCTTTATTAATACAGGTAAGAAAAACCAAGGCACAAGAAGGTCAGGTAACTTGAATCCAGGGCGTCAGGCCTCCAGAACCAAGACCTTCCACTGAAACCAACACACATGAGGTCCACACATGTGACCTGGTGAGCAAAACAGAGCCCCAACCTCCAAGTCCTTCCCGGAAAGGACAGCTCAGACCATCAGGCCTCCACCTCCCGCTGGGATCCCAGCCCTGGGAATGGAGACTGACAGCTGACTCAGGCAAGGATGACCACTGAGTCCTGGTCCCTCCCTGAGTCAAGTTCTAGGCTGGTACTTGATAGGTCCCCAGAGGACCCTCACTGAACACTCACTCCGAAGTATGTTCATCTGTGCTTTTTGTGTCCCACCTTCCGTTTTTATCAAGAGTCACTTTCTACAAGTCACCAGTGAAGCACATCCATTCAGTCCCTCTGTCTCTCTGCTCCGAGAGCCATGTGATCAACCTAGTATCTCTTGGAGAACTGGTTGCACAGCCTCATGTAAGATAATGAGAATTACGTTTTCTCCTTTTGCTCCGGCTGCCAGGAGGCTCATAGTCAAAATAAACGCAGCCTGACAAGACCCACATTAGCCCTCACATGAGCCAGCATATTTGATTCATTCTCCTTTTTATACTTTCAATGTCAAGATTTTCCAGTTTTATTAAGTACATGATGTGCCATGATTTGCCTCAGATCAGTCCTGCTTCTGCCCCTACCTGTTCTCTGCTTCAGAGACTCCGACCCTGCAAACTACATTTCCCATGCTCCTTTGCTGGCTGGCCTCCAGCTAGGGTCAGCCAATGGAAGGCACTGGCAGGAGATTGGAGGGCGGGAGGAAGGGAGAAGCCAGGGTATTTCTCCCCACCTCTCTCTCTCTCTCTCTCTCTCTCTCTCTCTCTCTCTCTCTCTTCTCAGGCAATGTCTTGGCAGTAGCTGTACCTCCTCCCTGGCCGCAACTCCCCCTGCCCAGGCCCACTGTGGTTCCAGCTTCCACTGAGTGGCCCAACTCTCTCAGTTTGTCCTTGAAAGAGGTAGAGGCAGCCTCCTCCAGCTGGTAAACTCAGAGTTGCCTTGCTTCTCCCCTGGGCTGCTCTTTCATTTTTATCGCCTCAGTAGCTAACTCCCAGCGTCAAATCTTGCCGGCTGAATTAGCTGGTACCAGGTTTATTTTCCTGTTGGACCCAGACCGATGCGTATGTCCTTCATGCCACGCCTGGTCAAAGCGGTTTTGAACACAGGGTGGGGGGGGTGGAGCACAGATAATACACAGAAAGGAGGCTCATGTTGAAAGGTGCAGAGAAACCTGCTAGGGGAGGCGGAGGGAGCAGAGGGTCCAGGGGAGGAGAAGTGGAAGGTGGGGCTCGGGAGACAGACACACGGGGATTCTAGGCCAGCTGTGTGGCCTAGCAGGTCATTTTACCTGTCCAAGCCTCCCCTTCCTCACCTGCAGGATGGGGAGACTACTGGGACTCTCCCTGGGCTTTAGGAGAATCAGATGGAATGAACCACCTGCAGTGGCTGATCCAGGAGTCTGGATGTGATCCTGTGATGCTGTTCTGCGACTGTCCTTTCCCTGAGCCCAGGACATGGGGCTTGGCCCCCTCCCTGGCTGTGACAGAGGTTTTAACAGCTAGGGCAGGTGGACACCGTGGATGGGTCCGGTGGCACCGTTGCCGACCTGCGGGGGCCTGGCGGCCGGATTTCAGCCCCGCCTCCACCCCACCCCACCCCACCCCACCCCCGGACCCCCAGGGCAACCACCTCTCAGAGTTGTGGTCCACGGTGTTCATGTCGTCCGCGGAGACCCTGAACTCACTGATGCGGATCCACTCGTCGAAGCCGACCCCCACTGAGTAGTAGACGTAGAGCTTGCCGTTGTGCCGGAAGCCGGGGTGCAAGGCGATGCCCAGAAAGCCCCGCTCGTCGCCCTCCCAGGGCGAGGTGAGCACCGCCCGGCTGACGTTCAGGAAGGGCTTCTCCAGCCGCGAGCGGTCGGGCAGGTAGGCCCACACCAGCCCCACCTGCTCGGCCACGAAGAAGCGGTGGCTGCCGTCCCTCGCGTGCACCATGGCCACGGGGTTGCGCAGCCCATTAGCCACCTCCTCCAGGCACAGCTGCAGGCAGCCCTTGGCGTCGGCCACCACGCGGCCCAGGTTCGAGTTGAGGTTCTCGTTGACCAGCAGGCGCGGGAAACAGTAGTCCGTGTCGTCCAGCGACAGGTAGCGGCAGAACTTGGCGCGGTTGCCCTCCAGGGCCCAGAGCTCCCGGTCGGGCGACAGGTGGCGGAAGAGGCCCCGGCACGTCTGCCACATGTCCAGACAGTAGTCCTCGCAGAGCCCCGGCACCGTGCGCAGCGGCGTGGACGGGTCCTCGGCGTCGTACAGGTGGGCGGCATAGGGTGAGCATTCCTGCGGGGACAGGGGCGGCGAGGATGCGTGTGACCTCTCCCGCCTCTTAGGGCCTCAGGCCGCTGATCTGTAAAATGGGGCCCCCATCGGTCTAGCAACACGGCGATCTCAACTAGGTAGCAGCAACCCTTGGCCTCCTAGCTCCTCACCCTCTCTTTCCCTTGCCCTAATGCTTCTGTTAGACCAAATGACCACAATATTACTACCACTAACAGCAGCCCTTGAGTACCTACTGTGTGCCGGAAAGGGTCTGGGGCACGCTTTTGTTAATGTATTAAAAAAACTTAAAAAAAATTTTTTTTAATGTTTATTTATTTTGAGAGAGAGAGAGAGAGAGAGAGAGAGAGAGTGTGTGTGTGTGTGTGTGTGTGTGTGTGTGTGTGTGTGTGCGCAAGTGGGGGAGGGGCAGAGAGACAGGGAGACACAGAATGGGAAGCAAGCTCCAGGCTCTGAGCTGTCAGCACAGAGCCTGACATGGGCTCTAACCCACAAACTGGGAGATCATGATCTGAGCCAAAGTCAGATGCTTAACCGACTGAGTCACCCAGGCGCCCCTGAGGCACTTTTCTATACTTCCTCTTTTCATATGAAATCTCCGCCCTGTGTCTTCGGGACTTACTCCTTCCTTTATTTAGATCCCCACTCAAGGGACACATCCTCAGAGAGATCTGCCCTGACCACACCCAGCCACCCCCCACACACACACTCCTCCCCACCCCACCCCCATCCACCTCCTGGCCTCTGACTCTGCTTGAAACAAACACCAACCCCCCCAGGCACCCCTGGGCGGCTTAGTCGGTTAACCTTCAGACTTCAGCTCAGGTCGTGATCTCGCAGTTCCTGAGTTCCAGCCCTGTGTGGGGCTCTGCATTGACAGTGTGGAGCCTGTATGGGATTCTCTCTCACTCTGTCTCCCCCTTTTCCTCCCCCACACATGCTTTCTCTCTCTCAAAATAAATAAACTTAAAAAAAAAAAAAAAACAACTAAACTTAAAACACCCTAAATCACAAACCTTACCATCATCTGGTATCATGATAAAAATGAATGTGTTTGCATGCTTACTGTCTGTCTTCCTTGGAAGGTAAATTCTGCAAGGAAAGGAATCTTTAATGTGTATTTATTTTTGAGTGAGAGAAAGAGACAGAGTGTGAGCAGGGGAGGGGCAGAGAGAGAGGAAGACACAGAATCCGAAGCAGGCTCCAGGCTCCACGTTGTCAGCACACAGCCCAATACGGGGCTCGAACTCACGAACCGCGAGATCGTGACCTGAGCCGGTCACGATCCTGAGTCATGACCTGAGTCCGGTCACCTGAGCCGGACACCCAGGCGTCCCTACAAGGACAGGAATTTTGACCGTCTTGGTCACTGTGTGTCCCGGAACCTAAGACAGTGCCTAGCACATAGTAAGCCCCGAGCGAATGCGTAGGGAATGTGCTGGAAGCTAACTCACCTGACCAGTACTTAACCGTGAATGGGTGCTCCTACCTCCATTACTGGCTTCATCTTCACAAGGGCCCAAGGGGAGAGTGTTACAGAGGGGGAGACTGAGGCACAGCCTCGGTGTCATTCAGTATGATTCGGGCAGCATGGAGGGGTCTGGGTTTGGTCTCTGGCCGACCCCACTCTCCCCAGCACTGTGGAGGCTGGCACATGTACAAATTGGCAACACCCATGCCCACGCATCCCCCTGGCCCCGGACCCCTCTCCCTCCACTGCTCGGGCACCTTGGGCAGGGTCCTGGACGGTCCTCTGCCACCGGACTGCCAGTGTAGTGTTCCTCTGGGGACAGATGGATCGGCCGCCCTTGGCTTCCCTGGCCTCCTGCCGAGGGCTCCCCCGCTGATGAGACACCGGGGACCCCATTCAGGGCCCGCATGGGCACGATCTGGAATGCAGGGTAGTCAGGCCCTCCTGGGGCAGGACTGTGAGCCCTGGGGACGGGAAGCTGATGGGTGAAGTGTTCTGCCCTCCTCCTCGCCCGGCAGACAGTCCCAATTCGCAGTTTGGATGGCTTCTTGGAACCAGTTCAGGCATCGCGCAGCAACCCTCGCCTAGCCCTCCCTCTGCCCCCAACACTCGTGCTTCCGGGTCCTCTCACCCCAAGAAGGAAATAACCCGCAAGCTTTGCCCCAGGCTCTGCCTTCCGGGAACCCAGGCAGAGGTGACAAACCCCAGCAGACCCCTCCCCAGCTTCAGGCCTCCAGCACCCACCCCCTGACAGCTGAGAGGATCCCTCCCTTCACACCCCGACCCCAGCCTGAGAGCCAACGCAGAGGTACCAGCACTCGGGATCCAGCTCTGCCCACAGCTCTGCCGTCAGCTCCCGCCTCCTCCCCCCTCTTCAGTTTCCTGACACTCTGCCATTTTTGCCTCTGAGCCTCAGCGCACACGGTTCCCTTTGCAGGCATGCCCTTCCCTCGAAAGCAGCAATCGATTCATCCTTAAATAACAGCCGCGGCCGTTGGAGAAATAGCGCGAACAACAACAGCTCTGGGCATTTGGGCAGATCGTGGGCCAGGGCCATCACTCAACGCAACTGACTGTGCCAGGAGTATGTTCTTAGTCCCATTGTACAGATGGGACAGAAGAGGCTGAGAAGGAAGCCCCTAACCAAGGTCACAGGCCGGATTCGACCTAGAAGCCAGGGCATTTCCGGGCTCACTGGCGGGCGCCTAACTCCCAGCCCCCAAAGCCTAGTTAAGTGTACCCCGCCCCTACCCAGAGCAGAGGCTTCAGCTCCACAGGCTGTATGAAAAGCTCCCTTGAGGGACGCCTGGGGGGCTCAATTAAGCGACTCAGTTTTTTTTTTTTTTTTAATGTTTATTTATTTGGGGTGGGAGGGAGAGGAGGGACAGAGAGAGAGGGAGACAGAGGATCTGAAGCGGGCTCTGGGCTGACAGCAGAGACCCCGATGCGGGGCTTGAACTCGTGAACTGTGGGATCATGACCTGAGCTGAAGTTGGATGCTTAACCGACTGAGCCACCAAGGCGCCCATGCAACTCTTGATCTTGGCTCAGGTCGTGATCTCTCGGTTTGTGGGTTCGAGCCCCACATCGGGCTCTGTGCTGGCAGCGTGGAGTCTGCTTGGGATTCTCTCTCTCTCTCTCTCTCTCTCTCTCTCTCTCAAAATAAATAAATAAACTCAAAAGAAAAGAAAAAGAACCTCCTTCAGTCAGAGCCCCTGACCTGAGCAGAGGTAATTATTTATGTCTGTGCCTGGCACCCTCTGCCCCCGGTCCCACCATGGGCTCAGCGGGCCAAGGTCTGGACCGACTCGGCTCTGGGTCCCTAGAGGCCTTGGGGGGTGCTCCTCCCGCGGCCGGACACTCCCCTCCTCACCGGCAGGGCCAGGCGGGGTTCCGACAGGTGGCAAGCCGCCCTCATGGATGTGTGTTCAGGCTCTGGGCCAGGGGCTCCTCCCTCCCTTGGAACCATCATGGTCACACCACGGCCTTGTCCTCCCGGCACCTCTACTGCTACTGTGAGGCTAAGGGCCACTTGGCCACGTATGCTTGGAAGTCTCTGGTCAGTCGCTGTCCCAGGCCTCACAGGGCTTCCCATGTCCCACTCAGCCGACGAGTGGGCGAGACAGCCAGGCCCAGGCCTCCGCGTGTGATCGTCTCTCACACGGTTGCCCTGGAGCCCCCTGTGACTCCAGCAGGCAGCCGTGGGTGGGCCAGGGAGGGTCTGTCCGCACACACGCCTCATTTAATTTTTGCGAGGGAGGGTCACTGTGACTTCTAGCATGTAGGCGACGAACTGAGGCTCAAAGAAGGCTACGTGCCAAGAAGTGGTCACGCCATGGCTCAGACCCAGCCCTCCTGATGCCCACAGCGGGGCTCTTTCCGGATTAGTCAGCACTGTTTCATTCAGCAAGCGTTTACGGGACGCTGACTGCATGCCAGGCACCATCCTCAGCTCTAGGGATACAATGAGGAGCGGAACGGACTTCTGGAAGCCGATCTGGGTGCCCTCTGCTCACCAAAGCCCAGCCCAGAGCTAGAGAGGGAGCACTGGGGGGCCTCTGGGGAGCCAGGCTAGAACTTCAGCGTCCGTTCATGGACACGGGGCCTGGCCAGCCCTTCCTCGTGGCCTACATACTCTTACAGAGCAAACCTGGTGCTCAGACCTGAGGAATCCACAAGCAGGACGTGACAGGAAGGTGTAGTGGTTGCTGTCCACAGGGACAACCAGCAACTGGCCTCCCGGGGTCAGTGGAAGGGGCAGCAGAAAACCCAAGCAAAGCCCATCGGGTGTCACACCGTTCAGCTGCCTGCGCCATTCAGCCCAGGAGCAGACGGCCCGCCCACCTTGCTGCCCCGAGGCCGCCCTGTGCGGCTGCTGAGGCTCACGACTCACGGTCCTGAGTCCCAAGGGTTCCTTATGTCCGCCACCTACTGCTTAGGAAGGCCGGGTCTGTGTACACAGTGCTCTCTAGGGAGGGTTTTCCTTCCTTTCCCATTTCCTCATCTGGCAAACTCGTCTTCGTGACTCCAGACCCAACTGAAAAGTCTTCTCTGGCTCCTGCGACCTCCCAGGGCCCTGACTCCCCCACCCTGGCCCCCTGTGGACCCTCCCGCGGCCCTCCACTCAGCATCGCCAAAATGTAACTTTGTAGCTTGTGGGCTGAGGGCTGAGCTCTCCACGGGGTCGTCTGTCACCTCCCGGTTGTCAGAGATGCCTCAGCTGGCCTGCCTGGCAGGGACTTTATGTTCTCTTTGTATGTCCACCTACCCCACAGGCTATGGGACCTTCCAGGGAAGGGGCCCGAGGGCCCAGCACACAGTGGGGCTTCAAGAAAACAGGCAGTATGACAAAGTCAGTAAGAGAAGGGCTTTGGAGCCAGAGCATACTAGAGACTGAATCTACCATTCCCTGTGTGACCTGGGGCAAGTTCCTTAGCCTCTCTGTGCCCGTGTCTTCATCTGTAAAAGGGGAAAGGAATTCCAATCTCACAGTTGTCGGCGGGAATAAATGAGATATCATGCATGCATTGTTCAATAAACACATGCTCAGGAGCGCCTGGGTGGCGCAGTCGGTTAAGCGTCCGACTTCAGCCAGGTCACGATCTCGCGGTCTGTGAGTTCGAGCCCCGCGTCGGGCTCTGGGCTGATGGCTCAGAGCCTGGAGCCTGTTTCCGATTCTGTGTCTTCCTCTCTCTCTGCCCCTCCCCCATTCATGCTCTGTCTCTCTCTGTCCCAAAAAAATAAATAAACGTTAAAAAAAAATTAAAAAAAAAAAAAAACAAAAAACACATGCTCAAATGGTATGAACTATCAAGATGCAATTCAATGTTTCCTCTTCCAGGAAGCCTTCCCTGACTTTTACAGGGAAAAGTGTGGCCTTTCTCCCTATCCCCCATAGTGTCCAGTCACCCTGGAGAAGACTTTTGTGCATTCTGGTAAGTATCCGTGTGTCTGTCTCCTGATTTGAACAAGGGGACTCGAGCCTGGGCCTATGACTTGCCAACTGCCTCTGGGCCCGGGCACCCAGACAGGGCCAGCCCCTAACAGGCTCTGGGGAAATATCTGTCCTGTACATGCACCTGCAGAATGTGTCCCGTGTAGATTTCCATCAGAAACCAGGCTTTGATGACTTCAGGTTACACAGAGAGGCAGTCTCAGTTACACAGAAGTTTGTCCTATGGACACGAGGAACCTGAGGATGTCACATGTCACAAGCTGTCATTTCTCCTCTTGATGACACAGGCGTCAGTTGGATGAGGGCAGAGTTCCAGGGAAGTCTTAAGGCCCAGAAGGGACGATCACCCTCCAGCTAAGGAGCCATCCTGGGCACCTGGAGGGGCTGTGGGCACCAGATGGGGGCAGGTTCTGGAGGGGGCTGTGGGAGTGAGCATGTTTTCATGGTCTCTCTCCTGTCTAGAGTACGTCTCCCTAAGGCAGATGTGAATGTCTGAATGCTGTCATTGACTGAAACTTGTAAATAAGTCACCTTGGCCACCTCCCCAGGGTGGAAATCAGGGGGTGCCGGATCCAGACATGGCCTTGGCTCGCAGACAGCATGGTCCTCCATCCAGCACTCTCCTGCCCTCCCTTGAGGCCCTGCCAGAGAAACCGTGAGCCAACCTCCACTGCCCTCTCCAAGTTCACTCCAGACATGAGGTCACTTTCAGAGACGCCTGGGGTAAAGTGCTAGAGGCCGGTCTACCACTGGTTGCTCAAGGCCAAGCCATGCCGGGAAGATTCCCAGGGGAAGAGGGGAGCCTCTTGCCAGGGAGGGATAGCAGGGCTGACTGTTGTTCCCTTCCTCCTCCTAGGACCCGCCTACCTTACTTGTCCTGCTGAGCCTGGCACATGGTAGGTGCTCAGTAAACAAATGTGGAGTGAATGCACGAGCCCAACTATGAGGGGAGGGGAGGGCCTGCTTCCAAAGAGCCCCCACGCTGGCGAGGGAGGCAGATGCTTGGCCAGACCATTCTGGCTCCCCTGAGAAGCACAGCACAGGGACTGAGCAGAGACCACCAACGGCGGGTGTCCCCCTCCTCCGCATTCTGGTGCTCCCCAGGGCCCCTTTCCTCATCCCCTCCCAGGCCCTCTCATTTCTGACCCAGATGGCCCACTCACACTGGCGCTGAGTGTGGTCCAAGTGCCCACCGTGGCCATAACTGAGCTGTGTGACCACTAGGCAAGTCTCTGCCTCTCTGGGCTTCCCCCGAGTGGGCCTCTGGGCCCCACTCGGTCCTTACCTAGAGCTGGGAAGCCAGTGGGGGCCAAAGAGGTGCTGGAGAAATCCAACCAGAATCATCCACTGAGCCCTGAGCATGAGCCCTCCTGTCTGTGTGCCTACTCTGAGGGACGGCTAAGATTGCCCCTATTTAAAAGGTGATGCAATGGTGCAGTGGTGACCTGTCCAGGGTCACAGAGCCAGGAGGGGCAGGGCCAGGATCAACCCAGTAAGTCTGATTCCAAGCCAGCCCTCCTGCCCCTCCCCTGGCTGCCTGAAGGGCGTCAGCTAGGCAGGACCCTTCCTCCCCCAGGCTTCTGGCTGCCTGGATGGTGGTTGGGGCCAGCCTCAGGGCTTCCTGGTCTTGACTCCATTTCCCCAGGGGTTCTGGTCAGCCTCTCGGGAATTAGACCCATGCGGGAGCAGCTAAGGCACAATCCTGTGCAATCCCGTGCCGGCAGAAGTAGGGGCTCTGCCCCCAGAGGGGAGACGAGGACAGACAGGTTACACCGAAGGGATGTCACTCAGGTGGTCTGAAAGGACGAGAGACCCTCTGCCACGTGGGGGCGCCCCCAGAGAGAGCGCACACCAGGAACCTAGGTGGGGGCCTGAAGTGCCACAAGCATCGCAGGCCGGCTCACCCCGGGGTCTGAGCACCAGGCACGTCTGGTCCAGGAAGAGGGCGGGGCTCTGAGACCGCGTCCTCAGGGCGGGGGAGGGGCTCTCACTGGGAGCGGTGTCCCCCAACCCCTTCCTCAAACCCAAGTCCCGCGCGTGGACCACGCTCCCTGCGGGTCCGGGCCGCGCCCACCTCCCCCGGGGCAGCGCGGGAAGCACTGGCGGGACAAAGGCTTCCCATCCCGGTGCCCCGACAAGGGCGGGGCTCCTCCACGCTGACTCCAGGGGGCCCCAGGGCAGAGGGGTCCGCAAACTCCCAAGGGAGTGATGACATCGCTCTGTCCGCCCGCCTTGCCTCACGAGGGGAAACGGAGGCCCAGGGAAGGCCCGAGTCACGAAGCTAATGAATGGCAAAGCCCGTCTCCCCGCGCCGAAGACTCCGCCGGGGGAGGGGGGGGGGGGGGGGGAGGTGCGGACTCGGGGTCCAACGCCCGCCGCCCACTCCCGATCGCCGCCCGGCGGGGCCGCCCCCGCCGCTCCCCGCCCGGCCGCCGAGGCCCCGACGCGCGCCCGCTCACCTGGCACAGCAGGTCGAGCGCGTAGCCGGCGCACGC